ACTCACTTGGTAGCCCAGGCTGGCCTCGAACTCACAGAGATCCACCTGGCTCTGCCTCCCAAGTGCTGGGATTAAAGGCGTGCGCCACCACCGCAGATGGTATTCTTAAGAGAGCCTAATGTTGTAACAGAAAACTCTCCGACCTCATAAACATTTTTTTCAGCAAGGAAGTGGGTTACAAAACTGACACACTAAAGTCAGTAGCTTCCCTATACCTCAACTAAAGAACTTGACTAAGAAGTTGGGGGTAGGAGGGGCCCACTCAAGCAGCTTCAAAACCTAGGAATAAACCTACCAAGGAGGCGAAAGCCTTCCGCAACTTCAAACTTTGAAGGAAAACGTTGCAGACATTAGCAAATGGCAATACCTCCAGTACACACAGATTGGCAGGATACAGTGACAATAACGAAACTACAGAAGCATCTGTGATTCAATCTAATATCTGCCGAAATTCAAAATAGGTTCTTCATAGAAAGAGAAAAAACAATCCTAACATTCAACGAGAAGCACAAACAACTCCCAATAGCAAGAGCAATCCTAAGCAGAAGGCAAATTGGAGACATTGCAATAACTTTCCCCAAATTATACTACTCAGATACAGTAAAAATAAAGTAAAATAAAACTTGGTGTTGACACAAAAACAGACACACGAATCAAAGGAAATACAGTGGTAGAATTAAACCCACAGCTATGGCTACTTGATTTTTAATAAAGGCTTCGAAAATATACAGTGGAGAAAAAAAAACAGCAAAGGATGTTAGGAAAACCAGATATAGATAGATAAATATACAGATAAAGATTTAGATATAGAAAGAATGAAAATAGATCTGTAAGTCTGAGCCTGTACAAAATTTTAAAATGCCTAAAGTTCTGTAATTGCTATAGGAAAACACCTTGAGGTACAGACATAGGCAAAGATTCCACAGAGCAGGACAAAAATCACATGAGGTTGAATGAAATTAAGAAGCTTCAGTAAAGCAAAGGAAGCAATCGTCAATTTGTAGAGAAACCTGCAAAGTGTGTGGGGGGGCGGATCTTAGCCAATTATATTTAACAGTGACTTAATATCTAAAATATATAAAGAGTTCTCAATATACCCCAAATCTAAAACCATTCAATAAGAAAGTCAATGAACTGAACTGATACTTCTCAAATGGTTAAAATACAAATGGCAAATAAATATTTAGAAAGAAATGTTCAACCCCCTCAGGCATGAGAAAAAACCAACAAACAAACAGTTTTGCTCTCTCATCTCGCTCCAGCAGAATGGGCATCACCAGGGAAACAAACAGCGAACACAGACAAAGATGTGGGAATAAAGGACGCCTTCTCCACTGCTCGAGAGATAGAAATGAATGCGGCCGTTATGGAAATCAGTATGAATTTCTCAGACATTAGGACTACCATAGGATGGCAGCTTTGGGACACAGATCCAAAGAACTCTAAGTCAACATACTACAAAGACACCTGTCCATCCTTCCTATTTGCTTTACTTGTCACAATAGCCAGGATATGGAACCAAACTAGATGCCTATCAACATTGAATGGATAAAGAAAATGAGATACATGTATACAATGCAGTTTAATTCAGTTGTAAAGAATGCAATTATAACATTCACAGGACAATGGTTTAAAACTAGAGATGATTATGTAACCAAAATAAGCTAGACTTATTGTGATAAATGTGGTATCACATTTTCTCTCATGTGCAGATTGAGATGTGTGTGTTTGTGTGTGTGTGTGTGTGTGTGTGTGTGTGTGTGTGTGTGTGTGTGTAGCAAAAGTAAAGGCACAATGAGAATTGGGGTAATACACATAGCAAAGTGGATGTCTCCTGAGGAATGATACCCAAAGTTGTCCTCTGGCTTCCACATGTGCAGGCACACATGTGAACTTTCCTCCCACAGGAACATAGAAACACACACACACAGTTGCAGATATGTTAGCATCCTGCTTACTCTTGTATACTAAGTCTGTATTCTATAATGAATTTCTGGACTAGTCCATAGGTAGCCAGAACTCAATAATATATTCCTAAGCTCTTGTTTTTCAACCTTAGCCCCTAAATATCCAATCCCTTCAAGCTGTGCTTCTTAGCTGCCCACTGAAAAGAATGACATTCTCATCCAGTACTAAAAAACACCTTCAAGAACTCCTTTTCCTTAACCCATTATCTTTTCAATCAAAGAGTCCTGCAACTCTATTTCCTGTCTTACAAGAATACTGTTCCTTTTCACTGTGCCTACTGCACATTCCTCCTCTCTACTACCGTCCCCTCTTGTAAAAACACTGGTGTTAACATCCCTGTTTTTGCTTTTACCACAATTCTGGGTTTTCTACAATCCATTCTTCACAGGAATGATCAAAAAGAGAGTAATCACCCCAGGGGCCACTATAAAAATCCACTTATTTTACTTAGACTTAAAGGCAAAGAATAAAGATCAAAAGAAGAATATTTTATAACCTGTATAAAATGCACAAAATTTAAGTTCCAGTGTTTATAATTCATGTTTTCTAAGAATACAGGCACATTAATTGCCTTATAAATTATCAATGGCTGCTTCAACTACATCTGCAAGGCAGAGCAGCTGCAATGAAAGTTTTGACCCTCAAAGCCTAAAACACTTCCGGCCTGACCCTTTACGGAACATTCTGCCAGCCCATGCTCCAAGTCCGAACTTGGATCATGTCACTGTCAGCTTACTGAAGACATGTCTTAGCTCCCAGCTGCCTTCAGATTGACCTGAGTGCTTAGAAGGAACAGGATATTCCGGCCTGCACCTATTCCTCCAGGCTTTAGTTTATTATTCCTTACTTACTAAGTAGTCTCTAGGCCACTGCTGAGTTGTGCAGTAATATCACAAAATTTTTTATGTTTATTTACTAATAATGTGTATGAATGTTTTGTCTGTATGTATGTATGTGCATATGTGTGTCTAGTGCCCAGAGAAGTTAGAAGAAGGCATCAGATTCCCTAGAACTGGAGTTATAAATACTTGCCAGCCACCATATGGGTGCTGAAAACTGAACTCTGGTCCTCTGCAAGAAGAGTAAGTGCTGTAAACCACTGATCTGTCTCTCAAGTCCCATGGATTGTAGTTTTATAGTTTTATGTACCTTTCCCTGTATATCCCACTGGATTATTAACATTGGGTAACAATGTCTGTAATAATCCCTTTGAACCCTGGAGCCTAAAATGGTGCTTGTATTACAAAGCAGACATGTGAAAATACAGTTAACATTTAAATGTAGAAATGCTTCATGATACCGGATGGACACTGTCATATACACTCCTTAAACGTTATATTTAAATAAAACATTAGTAATTGCACATCACACAGCCAAACAAAAAAAGAAATTGTTTAAGGTAAGGAAATTAATACTGTGACAGATGTTTTATTAGATCCAAAGTAGTGAATGTAAATGAGCAAAGCATAGCAAGTGTGTGGGTCTTATGGCATATTCATTTTAATCTCATATGAATATAGGCACAGCCCATTTAATCTTTGTATATAATATAAGCCGCGACACTTCTATTATCCGGTTCTCAGACAGGATATTAGATTCTATACAGGTTCCACACTTCTATTATGTCAGCAAGTCACACAGTAAGATTAAAGTGTGACCAGCTGGGTTTGGGGCTCAGTGGTAGAGTGCTTATCTAATATAAGCAGGCGCTGGGCTCCTTCCCCAGGACAAGAAGACAACAAACTGAAGCCACAATGGGTATTTTAGCTTTATTCTCTAACAATTGTTACATCTCCAGTCTCATTGCCATAATACCTGTATTTGAAAATGGGTTGGGACTATGTATTCCCAAACACATAGTAGCAGTGGTTAAATGCTCGAGGCAGACAAACACAGATGTGATCCAGCAATGTCATTAGCTATATATTCACAAACAGGTTAATGGCCCGGCCCTTGATATATCTGACTTTGGAATGAGAACAGTAGTGGCCAACTCAGAAATAGCCTAAAAGTGCTTAGCATTTTAACACAAAGCACTGTGAACGGAGGTGCCCAAGAAGCACAGTCTACCGCCCGACCTTCCCACGCGACTCTTTCCAGAACCACAGAGACTGTGTTCTGATTTCACCTGCATTTGCAATCTGATAGTCCTTTTTCTTTAGGAAAGAAAGGAAAACAGTAGTATCAATAATATTAAGCAAATATAAAAAATTAAAATTGAAACTCTGTACCTTTTTTTAGGAATGTTACTCCCAGAAGATTTCTCAGATGCTTTGAATGAATACATTCTCTCCAAATTAGACTATGTTTCCACAAATAAAGTCCATTAAAAAAAAAAGAAATTACAAAAACATTTAAATACAAAGAAAATAAGATTAAAAAAAACTCACATTAACAATTATTCCCCTAAGTAACCAAGTCTTCAAATAAATAAGCTGTTGAGCCACCACAGGCTAAAGGATGAATGATCCAAAGAATGTCCTAAGACACATAAGCTCGAGTTACAGGGGTGATTCAACTCCATGAGTGGTACACTAGGAGATTTAATTCACTGTTTGCCCATCACCGTGATCTAATTAGCTAAAGACAGCCTGTGCATGAAGAATCTGTAGTAGTTACTAAGAGACTAATAAAACAAAAAAATGTATGTATGTCCCTTTGCAGATGGGATGGCTATGGGTGTGTGTGTGTGTGTGTGTGTGTGTGTGTGAGTGTGTGTGTGTGTGTGTGTGTATGTGTGAAATGTGTGTGTGTGTGTGAGTGTGTGTGTGTGTGTGTGTGTATGTGTGAAATGTGTGTGTGTGTGTGTGTGTGTGTGTATAATATTCATTTGCAGATGGGATGGGTGTGTGTGTATATATATACATATATATATGTTCATTTGTAGATGGGATGGGTGTATGTGTATATATATACATATATATGTATATATGTTCATTTGAAGATGGGATGAGGGTGTGTGTGGCTTTAATGAGAATACTTAGGAATCATACTTATTTATTACCTATAAGTATCATAATATATTAAAAGACTCAAGACAAATTATTTCTGAAATACACTTTAAAAGAAAAATAAATTACTTTGTGAAATACTTCTACTTATTTATTAGCTCAAGAAATCATATATTGTATTTTTATTCTATTCACTACATTTCTCCTTGCAGTTTGTGGTTTTTATATCTGCTATTCTTCTAACTAGCAGCAATGCAAACACAAGATTTCAAACCCGGAGTTGCATCCATGAAGAATAAGATAAGAACCATCCCTTGAAAACAAACCTGCTCAGTAGTTAATCCAATTGACTTTTCATCAGAAGAATGTTGCTTCATTTCTGAAGATACGGGATTAGAACTGAAACACAGCAAAATTAAAGTATCTCCTGAGTTAAAATGTAATCATCCAATTCATGTGTCATCACACCACTCCAGAGAAGTAGCAATTATATTACCCTTTAAGAATCTATATTTTTAAAACACTGATTTCCCTGAAAAAAAGTTTCAAAGGAAAAAAAAAACCTGATACCTGATCAATAACATTTGTATGATACTAAAAAGCAGGCAGCAAGCATATTACCTTCCTACATCTACACTAGGGAGGTATGATTCACCAATTCTGTATCATCACCCCACGTTGCCTTAAGCAAGAGGCAAGAAAACTTGCTGGCTCTTCTTTTTATTTTATATGGCCACAGGGTGACTGTAATTTGTAGTTTCAATATAATAGCAGAATGTATAAAAGCACAGAAATGCAATTTCAAATCCTTCATCTTCGCACCACATGGATTGCAGAGCGTGAGCTGTGGAAGGTGAAAAGCAGGATTCCTCGAGCCTGTTTTCTTCTGTAAGGAACACTTCTTTAGCCTTATCTTAGAAAACAGCTCTGTACGGATGTAGTCAGATACTTGACATCAACCAGGAAAGCGTTCTATATCCCACCCTTCCCCATGACTCCCTTCTACCACTCACACTCCAGTGGGACACTGATTTTACCTGTACAATGTCTGTAAACTGACAGAATTTCAATCACTTAAGCAAAACCTAAAGATTTCAAGTTAATAGGGGGAAAAGTGAAAACAAAGAAAGAGAAAAAGAAAAAAAGAACCTTGGCGGCAGAACCTTCCTCGGACACATCTCTTCATTAGCTTGAAGGATAAGGCTCGGAGGAGACTGTGTACTGGCTTCGCCAAGCCATTTTCTACCCTATCAAAAACAAGAAGAAGCTTAATGCACAGTGGGACGGATTGGGACAAACAGGTAGATCTCGGCACTATTTACCTTTTTTGTGAGGGAGCAAGTCCTTACAAATTTGTTTTGTTTGGGAACTTCTACCAAGAATCCTTCAGCTATGAGGTGGTGAGACAGAGCCTTCCACCAGCTCTCTGCTCGGTCTTTGCCAGTGCCAAAAAGCTTGTGACCGCGGTATTTATCGTCAAGACGCTGAGAATTCTGAAATTGGAAATAAAGTATCTAAAAATGCTTATTCAAATAAACAGGCCAAATAAAACAAAAACCTACCCAGCAATTCTTCAGGTTTAAACACAAATTTCAGCTTTTAAACTTCTCGGATTTTTAAGTTCATCCTTTTCATTCTGAACACTCAATTGACAAATATGTAATGAAAATAGAATTCTGTCTTAAATACAGAAAAATCCTCACATAATTCAGATGCATTTCCCAGTGGATAGGTTTGGATACATGTCTGGAATATTCTATCTTTGCTATTAGAATTTTGAGTAACAGTTTCTAAAATTGGTCACAATTTTAGAACAGGAGTGATAAAAGAAAATATGACCTGCAGTTGGGCAAAAATTCATGGATTTCACTGAATGGTTATTTCTCACTGTGCTTTTGCTCACAGCACATTACCAAGTTGACTTAACTGCTGATCACCAGAGACACCTGTACAAACTGCCTGCTAACTAGTTGATGTTGGAGCAGTGATACTTCTGAGAGATGGCAGAAGTCTTATGAGAGACTCTTCAATCATTAAGTTCTAGAAACATGAGAAGTTGTCATACACATGTTTCTGTGGACAGAGAAGACTCTGCCCACCTCTACGTCTCTATAAAGTATTCTTCTCTTCCCTTCATCGTCTTACTATTTCATTCATTCTATACATTTAACTATTTTAAATGTGCATGGTAGTATATATGTCATATGGCATCATAGAAATTACTTGTGTATGAAGTCTTTGAGGTGATTATCATAGATTAAAATTCATCTATAATTATAACCTGCATCTACAGTGCCCTCTATCACACAAACTGGAAAGTCACATACACATTTCTGGTTTCATCTAGAATTCTGAACATGATTTAGTTCTGTTAATCAGATGTTATCATTTGCATGACAAGTACAAGCAGGATGTGAGACAAGGCCCACTCCCCTACAATATTGCAAGCATGCATGATTACAGAGGATCATGCATAATTGTGACCCAGGCCCTGTAACGATTAAAATCATCGCTCACAGGCTTATGCATTTGAAAAACTGGTCCTCAGCTGGAGACACTCCTTTGAAAGGTTGTGGGATCTTCGGAAATGGAGGCACGGCTGGTGAAATAGATCACTGGTAGCAGATCTGAGGGTTACAGCCTGGTGAAGCTTCCAGCCTGAGTTCTTCTGCTTCCTACATGCTACCCTGATATGGCCAGCTGCGAGTTCCCAATGCTATGGACAAATCCACATTAAGCTACGCCTCCCCTGCCATGAAGGACTGTTTCCCCTTAACCAGGATCGAAACCAATTTCTTTCTTAAGTTACTTCTACCCAGGCATCGGGTCATCACAATGAGAAAAGTAAGTAATAGAGGTGGAAGTGGCACTCTCCTTACTAGTAATCCATGGGGATGCTAAAGCTCATTGTGGGTCCATTTGAATACAATTTCTGGCCAAACACATGCCAGCTGAATGTGTTTTAAGCACTAATACACAACATGGAGAATACAACTATTAAAGTGCACTGTAATTACCGCCAACAAAAGAATTCATTTCAGTTGTCCATGCCAAATAAATAGTAAAATTAAGGGGAAAATGTTATTTTCTTTGACTATAGCAACCATTTTAATATCTATGTAGTCCATAATATTCTTCATTAGTGTGCAATCAGTTTTCCCTGACTAGCCATGAAGAGCCGCTAGGGCTTAACTTTGTAGTAGGAGAGTCTATTGTTTACAATTAACACCAAAAGTATTAAGTTGCCTAACTAGAATTACTAGTTCTGGACACTAAAGATTATTATTCCTAGCCTTTTTTTTCCTTCCTAATTGGAAAAAAACAAAATTGAATGTGCATATTCACTGAGATGAAGCAATAAAACTTTTCCTAATTAACAGAAAGTACCTCTTCCCTTTATGATCAATAATCATTGTGAATACTGTGTGCTATGAAAATAAATTTATAAAACCATGTTTCCATGGTAACCACCAGGCAGAGAAACCTCTTTATTCTTTGATATGTTATATCTTTGTTTTAAAAGAAATATTTAAGCTCAAACTAAACTGAGCAACCTGCTTTAAAACACCATAATAAAGATTTTAAAAAAATATTTCTTTTTTATTTGTATGAGTGTTTGCCTGTATGTATGTATGTATGTATGTATGTATACCATGTGCCTATGGAAGCCAGAAGAAGGCATCAGATTCCTCTCAATCTGGGGTTACAGAAGACTGTGAGCTGCCATGTGGGTGCTAGCTACCCAAACCAGGTCCTATGCAAGAGCAGTGGATGCTCCTAACCACTAAGCCACCTCCCCACCCCTACAATAAAGATTGGATAAATATTTAATGATATCTGACTGTGAGCAAGACATCCACATTAACTGCATAAATGTTCTAGTTACCTTTCCAAGTTATCCATTGGCTACTTAGGATGAGAAGGTCATCAGAGAGAAAATATAGTATCTATTTTGCAATTTTTAGCTCTGAGAGCCTACACACACACATACACACACACACACACACACACACACACGTATGTATGTATGTATGTATGCATATTTATTCATTTCCAGGGCATGTAATCTTGAAAAGGGAAATGTTCATACTGCTTTTTAAAAGTCAACTTGAAAACAATAAGGTTCAACAAGTGGACCCATTACAGTGCAGAACCCATAAACTGCCGGTAAAGCAAGAGTAAAGAGAACTGATGACCCAGGCACCCCACCCCACCCACCCCACCCAGCGATGGGCTTCTACAGAAGCCAAACCTTTGCACTAGTACAGCAGAAAATGGGAGAGAGAAAAAAGAAGAAGAAAACTTGCTACTTCTCCAAATTAACTTCCTCTAAACTCAAGTTGCTTTTCGTAGTCAATTTTTTTCTTGCTGGGAATAACATTATCTTTCATTCTTCTTCCCTCCTTCCATGCCCAAATCTCTACATCAACTATAACCCCCAAATCGACTGAATCCCCCACAAAAATCCAGTGGCCCCTTCACACACTTCCCTGATTCCCCTGGGCATGCTCTCTTCCAAACTTCAGTAACAGTCCCCAACCATCCAAGTGTCCCATGTCTCTTTCTGCACCAGGTTATACTTATTTCCTCCCAAGTAACCTGGTCGACACTAGGTGTTAACCCTCGTCTAGTTCAGCACTCTAGCCTCTACATAATAAAGATAGTGCCCTATGCAAAAACAGATGTTCAATAGCTCAAGAAGACTTTAAGTTTCTAGCTGACTCCTCCTCCCCCTGCCAACCCTGCCTCTTTCCAGTTCCTACAGCCCAAAGATATTCACAGCCAAAGTTTCAGTAGTTTAGTAGATAATTCTGGGTGAACCAAGGGCCTTGTGCAGTTAACCGAATTTTCAGTACTGAACAGCAGACCCAACCCATAGTAACATATTTCAATCAGATGAATATTAAAATGCATAGTACTCTCCTGTTATATATTTTTAAAAATTTGGAGAGTGAATAAAACTACCAACAATTACAGTCGATTGTGGTAGTACATGCCTGCAATCTTAGTGTTCAGGTGGCTTAAACAGGAGAATCACAAGTTGAGGGCCAATCTGAGCATGATCTTATCTCTAAAACACATATATACAGACATACTTACACACACACACACACACACACACACACACACACACACACACATGCATACATGCATAAATCTACCAACAGTCCTAACACCTACATAGGTCAAATCTCTGGACTCAGAAATTTGTGTAAAAATCTTGTGGATAAAATGCTTGATGTCTAAATATGAGGACCCAAGTTTGGATCCCCAGCACCTGGATGGAGAGTAGATATGGCAAATCAATTCCAAATGAATCAAACATTTCAATGTTAGACCTGAAACTTGTAGAAGAAAGAATATGGAGTATACTTTAGTATATAAGCTTGGGAAAGGACATTCTGAAAAGGACCCCAGTTATCTAGAAAATATGACCACTAATCAACAATAAGGCTTCATAAAATTAAAAGGCTGCCCTACGAAAGAAACTGTTACTTAACTGAAGAAACAGCCTACAGAATGGGAATGCCAGCTACACATCTGGTGGAGGGTTAGTATACACAATATACGAAGAGTTCAAAAAGTTAAACAAAAAAACAAACAAACAAAAAGTGGGCTATGGAATGAAATGGAATTTTCAGGAGAAGGAATACAAATGGCTAGGAAATGTTTTTAAAAGTGCTTACCATCCTTAACCGTCAGAAATTCAAGTTGAAACTTCTTTGAGGATAAGATTTAAAAAAAAGACAAGAAATGCTGACAGTGATTGGGGAACCATTGTGCACTATTTGTGGAAATGAAAAATGGTGCAGGCCCTTGGAAATCAGTAAGAAGAGCCCTCAAAAAGCTAAGATTATATCAATCATATGACCCAGTTAAATCATCCCTGGACATGCACTCAAAGGACTCTATTTCCTACTACAGAGACACATATCCATCTATTTTCATAGCTGCTTTATTCACAATTGCTAGGACAAGAAAACAGCCTAAATAGCCTAAATGATGAAGTAGATGATGAAAATGTGGTACCTAAACACAACGGAATTTCATTTGGCTATAAAGAAAACCTCAATTATAAAATTTGCAGGTAAGTGGACTGAGCTAGGAAACATTATAGTGAGTTAGAGAACCCAGACCCAGAAAGACAAACATTGCATGTTCTCACTTATATATGGATCCTACTACTGAATATTTAGAATAGTGTATTTCATTTGGAATTTCTGTAGAATCCAAGAATCTAAAAAGGATCATTGGTAGGGGTGGGGAAAGAGAGGAAAGTCTTAAGGGAGAATAATAGAACAGATGTGACGTAAAGGGAAAAATGATTTAAGAGTAGAGTAGGATGAGCAAGTAGGATGGAGAAGTAGGTAGGGAGAGATAACACTAAAGGCTGTTTTAAAAGCCCATATGGCAACTTCCTATTTTATAAGCTTCCTAAACACACACACACACACACACACACACACACACACACACACACACACACACTTATATGACAGAGATTAATTGGAGGTACCCTACACAGGGGATAATGCTACTCAAGGAAGTTCACCAAACAAAAAGCCCAGTGTCAGGTGTGAGACATCGCCTCTCAAATTGGTTGCTCAGCTGGGCTGGAGAGATGGCTCAGCGGCTAAGAGCACTGGCTGCTCTTCCAGAGCATCCAGGTTCAATGACCAGCACCCACATGGAAGCTCACAACTGTCTGTAACCCTACTTCCGGGGAATCAAAACACCCACATATAGACATACAAGCAGGCAAAAGTCCAATGCACATAAATAAAACATGATCTTTTAGCTGGGTGGTGGTGAATCCCAGCACTTGGGAGGCAGAGGCAGGAAGGATCTCTGTGAGTTTGAGGCCAGCTTGGTCTACAGAGCGAGTTCCAGGACAGGCTCCAAAGCTACACAGAGAAACCCTGTCTCAAAAACAAACAAACAAACAATTGTTATTTATTTTATCCTATAGACCACACCCCCAAAAGTACAGGCTAGGGCCACTGTTGTTAGCTTCCCACCAAAACTTGGGTTTAAGTCTGCATTGCCGAAGACACCGCATGTCTTGGCCACAAGACATGGGGAAATCAAGCTGGCACTGACCAGGAAGTTTTCTTTTTACTGGCTAGCTTTCACAGTACCAGAAGGTGGTATGCAGGCTGCTAGGCAAGAAAAAGTCACCAAGTCTTACCCAGTTGTTAACCCTGTGCTCTAAAATAACAACTGGCATGGCCAGATATGTCATAGGTACAATAGTGGCATGAATATTATAGGGTCAACCAAGCACTTCCTGACAGGATTTAAGTACCCTCCCTACCACTCCCATGCCCACCTCACAGGAGGAAATACATCCATGACACTATAAATGTGGCCGGAACCTGTGGGTGGGGAGCTCACAGGCCCCAGGGATGAACCTATTACTATTATTTTGCTAGACAGACATAGTATAAAACTCAACTCTAAATTCTTATCCCTGTACCCAGACATTAGCACCTCTCTCAGGCCTCACCAGAGAAGGTTCTTTGTGCAGTGGATGGTGGGTATTGCAGAAACTCACAAATGGTCAAAGGACAAAGAGGACATGTCTGTAGAGTGTTTATCCACAAATGGGACCTCTATGTGACACTCCTTTTCCACGAGGCTCTGGGCTCATCCCAAAAGTGGGTTATAAAGATTGTTAGAGCCAGAGGTCGTAGAGAACTGGAACGAACAGTGTCTTCTGGACCCGACAGACCACTGAGCCCATTAAGTCACAGCGCCTATGGTTGCCTGCACACTATCAGGCTAGTATCATGTTCATCAAGGGGTGAAGAGGTTCATGAGCCCCTACTGAGCAACTATTGAAAGCTGATGGCTTTGGAAGGAGAAAGTCATTCTTCTTTAAGGATGTAGCCCCTGGAATGTTGGACACATTCCAGTAAATGGCTCCATACCCATCACGGGGTGGGGGAAGGGCATCAAGTTGGGATGGGGTGGAGAGGGGGAGGGAAGGACGTGGGAAGAGTTGGGAGAATAGCGGCAGGGAGTGATTATGACCAAAATACATTGCATACGTGTATGAAATTGTTGAAAAGCTAATGAAATTATTACTTAATGAAACAAGCTGGGTGTGGTAACATATGTCCATCACTGTAGCATTGGGTGGCAGGAGCTGGAGTCAGGAGGATGTCAAGGTCTCCAGGCAAGTCAGTCTATCCAAAACACTGAACTCCAGGTTCAGTGACAGACTGTCTCAAAAGAAAAACCATAAGGTAGAGAGTCACAGAGAAAGACACTCAATGTCCACCTCTGGTGTTCACATGTGCACACAGAGGTGAGAGCATCCACATACATGCGCACACATACACATCCCAAAATATTGTCTAAGTGTCTAATTCTGAGGCCATGATAAGAATTAGCATTTTACCCGCTGGGCGGTGGTGGCGCACGCCTTTAGTCCCAGCACTCGGGAGGCAGAGGCAGGCAGATCTTTGTGAGTTCAAGGCCAGCCTGGTCTACAGAGTGAGATCCAGGAAAGGTGCAAAGCTACACAGAGAAACCCTGACTCGAAAAACCAAAAAAAAAAAAAAAAAAAAAGAATTAGCATTTTGATACTCTTGGTATGTAAATGATCATGTTTTTCTTTAAATTATAGCCATTGGCTGTTACAACATGTTCCAGAAATGTCTAAGATTTTTACATAGAGAACTGTTTAGTCAGTTAAAACAAAGTTCTCTAGGCAATACTGGTTGCTTCCTAATTGGACACATTAAAACAAAAATTTAAACTCCACTCTACCAATTTATGGATAAACTGAGTAACTATTCATAATATTTAGAAAAAACATGGAAGACAGAATCAAGCTCTACAGAAACCATATTTATGTTCATAAACATCATGTCTTCAAAGTAACTCCAAAAAATGGCTTGATATATCATCTTACATATTAAAATTACCTACAAAGGTATTAACTTGTCCTAAATTGGAACAAGTTGCCTAGTTCTCAAGAGAATTACAGTTATAATTTTTCAACGATATCCCAATAGATATCAGGATGACTGAAAGCAAGGGCAGGTGACTCGCCTTATTTTCACTATTGTGAGCATCTACAGCTCTCCATTAAGTGATACTTTTTTAAAAGCCTTACACTTGGAGCTGGCAAGGGTAGTATAAAGTTTCACTGAGGTGAGCTGCTTAATTTGAGGACTCCCAGAAGACACTGTCTGTAGAAGAGGTCTGACTTGGTTTTCAAATAATAAGTGAAACCCGATCCCTCTTGTGACCACTTGAAGTTTGTCTAGAAACAAACTTATTTATTGATAGTGGATATAGCCGGATTACACCAAATTAAAACAAGGATACTTTTTATAAATTACTCACATTGGAGACACAGGTTTTGAAGGTGACAAAGATAGAAAATAAATGTATAGGTTTCAATTATATTTGAGCTGTCCTGCAGAGCTGATAAAGATAAAAATTCCTTAGATAACACTTCTATTGTTAAAATTTTAAGCAAATTTGCCCTTTAAAACCATTTATCTTGAAAGGAATGACACTTGAAAAGGTAATACAGGTTTTCAATGTGTTTCATTAAAAACATTTTATAACTCATTCCATAGATTACTTTCTAAGTGAAAGTAAAAACATTTACATGAAGCACTTGAATATTTAACAAGCAAAAGTTTACCTTAATGATTTTAAAATTCTATACACAAAAGGAACATTTAACTTCTACTATAAAGTATATTTTTTATTTTTTTTTTTATTTTTTTTTTTTTTCGAGACAGGGTTTCTCTGTGAAGTTTTGCGCCTTTCCTGGAACTCACTTGGTAGACCAGGCTGGCCTCGAACTCACAGAGATCCGCCTGCCTCTGCCTCCCGAGTGCTGGGACTAAAGGCGTGCGCCACCACCGCCCGGCTTAAAGTATATTTTTTAATCAGGAGATATCTCTGCAAAGTATCATGCCTTCTACTCTTGGTTTATTTAAATGATATTACTATACAATTCTTAAACTTCCAGACTTCTAATTCAGAAGTAAAATTACCATATACAGGAGTACCACAGAAAACCAGCTCTGTAAGTGTGAGGATTGGGTAAACAGAAGGACCACAGGAAACCAGCTCTGTAAGTGTGAGGATTGGGTAAACAGAAATACCACAGAAAACCAGCTCTGTAAGCGTGAGGATTAAATAAACAGAAAGACCATAGAAAACCAGCTCTGTAAGTGTGAGGATTAAGTAAACAGAAGGACCACAGGAAACCAGCGCTGTAAGCGTGAGGATTGGGTCTTAAGTGTGTTTGTGCCTGACATCTGCCAGCATAACGAGGGCACATGAATCACTCAAAACAGGAAGCAGTTCAATTAAACTAGGCTAGTCACTTGTAAAGAACCGAAATAAACAAAACACTTTCTTAGAATGTTACATACTTCCAACTTGAAATACAATCAGAGGCAAGAATATGCTGTCATACACTGTTACTGAACACAGTACACTTACAAAATAATTCCTGAAACTAAAATTTTGTACAAAGAATATAATCGTACCTGGGTACCAGAAGATACAATTTTGTCCTACCAGTCCCCTGACACAATGAAAGTTAACTTTCTTTAATTATCCTAAGCAACGCCAGTCTAGGGATTAATGCAATTGCAGTGTGGTAAGCTAATACATTATTTCCAGTCTGCAGTGCACACCTGAACACCAGCTCACAACAACAAAAACAGCGTCTGACGTGATACAAGATCTGTCCAAAGCAACGAGTGCAGGGTTAAGCTGGAACTCAAGGTGGCTGTGAACTACAGCAAGTCACCTAAGGGCAGAGCTACAGTCACAGCAGTGGAGAGCACTGTCAGAAACTGTCCCAGAAGCCATCACAGATGCACTTACGGATCCTCGGAGGAATAAGATAGGAATGCCAATTCCAAACTTCTCCTGTAGGACGTCCACAGCAGAGAGCAGCTGGAATGCTTGGGGGCCAAAGTCTTGGAATGTGTCCTCTGAGTCGTTAGTGGAATAGCAATGACTCAATCTGAAGAAGAGTAATAATATACTAAGAAAACACAAGCAGAGCGTGTTCCTTTAGAAATAAAAAGATGCAACTGTGAACCATGTTAAAAATATCTCACGTGTCCAGTGCTTCCAAAACTACAAACAAAGCTTATTACACCCGAAAGCATGTTCATTATCTAAAACATGAGATATAGATCATAATACAGCTAACCCACACACAGTGCTTTCTTGTGCCCAGAAGCTAAGTTTCATGGAGGCACTCAGAAGAGGCAAACTCAAGGAAAGCAGAATTGCAGAATCCCAGCTAGGGAAGCGCCACGTGATCAATTATATAAAATATTGGACGCTAGTGTTACGTTATACCAGAAAAGGGGTTAATGAAAAAGTTTCTAACTTAAAAAATGGCTATGCAGTACTATGCTAGTTTGAAACCTAGTAATTTTAAAACACAACACTGGAGCTCATAAACTTGTCATGCTGGTACATTTAGCAGTTAAATTTCGTAGTCATCCTCCAGGTTGATGCAAAATTACATTACTGCAAACAAGAATTGTTTAGCTTGAGAACAAAAGAAATCCTTAGAGACTACCAACTATTACATTTAAATTACCAAATTCAACTACTTTCCACATCAGATGTATCTTTAAAATAGCAATAGGAATGCAGTCAATAATCCAGATAAAAACATTCTGTTTGGATTTAAAAAAGAAAAGCCCCTGTTTAGGCTTATTCGCTCGTTTACCTCCTTGGTGGGATGCTAGATGACTTTCTCTTCAAAGTATTTAAAGTTATCAAGTCCCCATAAAGTATGACCCATACTTTATCTTACCGCTTTAAATATGTTATCTTAAACATGAGATCTAAATCACAATACAGCAACCCACACAGTGCTTTCTTGTACCCAGAAGCTAAGTTTCATGGAGGCACTCAGAAGAGGCAGGCTCAAGGAAAGCAGAATTGCAGAATCCCAGCCAGGGCAGCCGCCACGTGATTGTGGTTAGCGCTAATTTCTAAAAGTTTTTAAAATTCTATACCCAACAGTGCTGCTTCAGACCTAGAGACACAACTAACTCAAAGAGGTGGCATTTGTGCTTATTTTCTTTATAGTATAATATAGTTAAACTGTGCATATCCCTACGTGCAGATTCATTGAACCCTCACCATCAAGACCCAACAAATGCACTGCTCTCCAATCCATTCATTCTCCCTGTCTTTAACCTCTGCCAGCTGCGGGTCCTCCCTACAGTTCTGTCTTTCGGAGAATATGCACCTGGAACCACACTGTAGAATGGGGTTCTTTCCTCATTTAAATGTTTCTAGAATTTGTCATTGAAGCCAGGTGGGCTAGAGAGCTTTCTTCTCAGAGGTTTTAAAGGTAAAATTCAATGCTTATAGTGGTGAGGCGAGCATTCGGCTGTGATTCACAGTGTCTGAACACTGTCAATTAGAGGACATTAAGAAACTGGTCCATGAGATCTGTATGACTGAGTTTCTGTAAACTGATTGGTTCAGAGAGTTCTCTTTGTGCCCTCTCACTATGGGGTTGCAATAAAATTCTCTTTCACTTTGATATTGGTAATCTGTGTTCCCCTCTTCTCTGTCAGTCTTGTCAAACGGGGTTTTTTTTTTTTTTTTGTTGTTGTTTTTTATTTTTACAAATAATGAACTTTGGGGTGAACCAACTTTCCTCTACTGGTCTTGTTTTCTATTTCACTGGCTTATGCAATTATTTTTATTGCCTTTTTCCTGTTGATTCTCCTCTTAGTTGCCCATTAAAGTAAAAGCTTAGTGATCTGCTTGAAACGTATACTCTTTAATGTGGCATTTAACACTACAAATTATCTTGGCAGAAGCATACTAGTTATATCCCAGTCATTTTATATTCTTATTACATGGGTTCAAAACATTTTCTGATGTGATGTACAACTTTGACTCACAAATTATTTAGAAGTACACTGATTTATTTCTAAGGGTTTGGAGATTTCCCTTTTCTTCCACTGCTGCTTCCTAGCTTGACTCCATTAAAGTAAAAAACATATTTTATCCAAATAGAGTATTTCTTCATTTGTCAGGGTTTGTTTTATGGTTCACAGGAAAATACATGTCCCTAAGCATTCCAGATGCCCTTGAAAAGAATGGGTAAAATGCTCTTAAGAAATTAATTAGAACTGGTTTGCTGGAAGTCCTCTTTATTTCCTCTGTCTCCTCATGGATTTAGTGGGGGGTTAGTTTCAGGGCTTTGGGGTGGGCCATGGTTGTCGTTGAGTCCTGCTTTTGCTTTTGTTCTTGGTATGTTAGGACACAGTCTCCTCATGGGACCTGGGGTCATCTTGAAGTCACTGGTAGGGGAGGCTGGCCTCAGATACTTGGTCTTCCTACCTGAACCCCTGAGTCCTGCGATTACAGGCATGTCCTCACTCTTGGCATCCCTTACCCATTTCTGTCCATCGATTCTATTAATGATTTGTAAGCAGGTGTTAATGTCACCAAATACTCTTGTGGGTTTCTGTCCCCCCTTTTAGTTCTGTAGGTTCTTATGTGAAATGTGCACATTCCTGATTATGTCTTCAGGGCTATATGGCTAATGCGTCGAAGAGGCTATGCTATGGGGCTCAGTTGTTTGGCCAGACAATAGTCAAGATGCCACAGCAAAAGTACTTTGTAGATGTGAATACTATTTATGATCAGATAACTCTAGATAAAGAAGTTATACTCAATAATCACCCTCTTTGAGTTCAAAGTCTTAGCAAAAACTGGTTTGTTGAACTAGGAATTCTGTTTCAACTCTGTAATATCAGCTCTTGCCTGACATAGTGTCCAGACCACTGACTTATGCTCCACGTTTTAAGACTTGCCAACAATGCACATTATCACCCCCCTTCTTCTCTGTTCTTTCCATCTCAACCCTCCTCTCCTCCTTGTGGTCTCTCCCCCCACATATGCCCTCCCCCATGCCCACGCCCTTGCCCATGCCCTCACCCTTGCTCTGTCCTTGGTACCATTTCTCTGAAGAACTCTGACACTTTCATATTGTTCCACACCATTCTTTACCTCTGATAATATGCTTTGCTCTGAAGTCTCCACTGCCAATACTAAAATAGTAACTTAAGTTTTCTTTTGATTAGCATTTTTCACAATGTTTTATATTTCATTATTTTTAACCTATCTGAATAACTGTACTGGACCTTATGGAAACCATCAGATAGTATACTTTTAAAATCCATTTTGATTATTTATGCCTTTAATGAGTACATTTAGGCCACTTATAGTTAAATACAACAATTGACTAACTAGGCCTACCATTTTATGGCTTTATTGTATAAAAGTAAACCTCTTCACATTGTTTTATTTTAAATAAAGTAACTATGCCATTTTTAAAAACTACTCACCAGCCAATAAAAATGTAATAAAACATGATTTGAGGAGAAAGAGAAACAATAGTTTCTAGAATATACATCAAGAAGAAATTTTTACCTGGGCCTGCAATTATCACAGCATTTTTCAGTCCCCATAATGTCCAAGGAGGCCTTCTGTAGTCGTTTGTCCTCAAAATGGGACAAGATGATTCTGAGGAAGAGAAAGTTTTAAATTAGAGAATAAATGTGGACATATTAAACCACCACCCAGAATGAGGTTATTACCATCACTACTGTATTTATTTGGGACAGCAATACCTCATATCAATTTATTTAAACACAAATAAACAAGTCCTAAAATTCAGTATGTATAAAGCAAATATTCTTTAAAAATACTTTTAATTAACTTTTTTAAAGCACCATCTAAAGGCCTATGCTTCTAACTGATAAAAACAAATAATACATACTGTCGCCTGCATCGATTGGAATGAAGATATTTTTCCATTTTTACCATCATCTTTAATTTATATAATCGGAACTTTTCATTGTGTATTTCAAGAAGGTGATGCCTGCCAATTGAAAATCACAGGAATATTTAAAATTATACTGTCAATTTTGTTATTTTATTTTTAATAACCCACAGAATCCCCCACTGTATTACAATAAAGAATGTTTCTATCCCCCTAGAAATGGCCTGTATTGTTCCCAGCCATGGCCCCTGACAAGAGAATTCCATCAATGACTTTGAAGTTTTCCGTTTGATTCACAGACCGCATATGCCATGGTTTCTAGTGAGCTTTCTGATACATGGATCCTGCACTTTTCTCAGGAATGTATCTTGTAAGTGATGTTTTATGAGAAAGTTAAAGCACCTATGTAAGGAATACTTAAAGAGGCTCATCATTCTAGCATGAACCTTTACCCCACTGGCTTTTCAGAGGACAGCTCAGCCCTCCAACGCTGTCCCTCCGCACTGTGGGGACACTTAAGGACAACAGTAAAGTATGAGAATTCCTCCTGTCACCGTGGGGTGACAGTGATAGCACGTTTGTTGGTATCTGTAAGTCAGCGCCGCTGCAGCTCAGCATAACTGTTGCTTTCTACCTTCCGTGACCAGATTCGTGTATTTCAAACACGAGGTGATGAAGTCTTCCAGGTGGTGTTGTACATCTTTCCAACAATCAAAACGTCTGCACGAAGTGGTTTTTAGCTATTGCAATATGAAACTCTAATTGAATATATAGTAGCTAAATGTGAATACCGAACCTCATCATTATGGACTTCACTCACTAATGTCTGCAATACCCAGCCTTCTGATTAATCAAAATATCTGTATACCATTCGCAAGGGGTTCTAGAAAGTTTGAATGTACAAATGATCCATTATTCAAAACTATGTTTTCAATGGACCATTCACAATCTATTTTTCCTCCAAATCCCCTAAACTGGAAACACTAATTCCTGTGCTACTATCTAATTTCATACTTACTAGCTCAGAGATTTAAAAAAAAAAATAAGTTTTATTTAGTTTCCTCATCCTTCTGGGATAGAATCAAGAAAACAAATGCCTATTCTCAGAACTGTATCTTAGTATATTTGGCTGGGATGAAATACATTTAAATAATCTTATCCATGTTCATTTACATGTTCATTTCATTTGAAAAAAAAAGAAACTCAATAAAATATTTATTATTTTTATTTTTCTTTTACTACTATTAAGTTAGTTAAATATAATATTTCACAAAAAAACAAATTTTAGGAGGCAGAGCCAGGCGGATCTCTGTGAGTTCGAGGCCAGCCTGGGCTACCAAGTGAGTTCCAGGAAAGGCGCAAAGCTACGCAGAGAAACCCTGTCTCGAAAAACAAACAAACAAACAAAAAAAAAAACCACAAATTGTAACAATTCTAAAATTATTAGCATTAAATCAGTTGCACATAGTCAAAGATTCATTAGATTAAGATTACTCTCTAAATTGTTCTCTTTGAAAGAAAAGACGGCAGGATCTACTGGATAGGAATAGAAAGAGAGTAAACAGAATCATCGGGACACCGCCTGTGCCCTTGCTCTGCGGTAAGCAATACAAAATCACAGAACAGGGAATATAAAATTACACAATAGTGACTGAGGGTGTGGCCTGCATACGCTTGTCTGGCATGAGTGAGGCCAAGATTTGATACCCAGCATCACAAAAATTAAACAAATAAATAAACACCAGGAAGCTAAAATCATTGCATGATCACTTAGACAAGTTTCTTTTCCTAGTCACAGAACTTTAGCATGAGATAGCCTAAAACTTTTATAAATTACAGGGACTCTTGCAGTTCAAAATCTTGATGGTACAAATTCATCCTCAATCCTTGCTCTATTCTGTTCTATCCTTCCCCTACAGTTTTCGCCCCTTTGTTACTGACACAAAGAGTAATCCTCTGCGCCCACTAACTCAGCTCTTGAGATCGGTTAACCCAAGTTAAAGTCCTACCACACTTACAATGGTTGTGCCTGCAATGAACATGTTGAGGCTTTTTTTCTTGTCAGAATTCTCTAAACATTACATAAAACTATTTACACATCATTTACTTTATAACAGATTGTATACTTAGGCTAGAGACAGAGTATACAGGGAGTACACAGCCATAAACCAATACTGTGCTGTTCTGTACAGGAGACTTGCACATGATGAGATTCTTGGTATCTGAGGGTCCTAGACCAACACCCATGTATAATAAGTGACAACTGTGGGGGTGTTCTGGCACCACCATTACTTCCTGACCAATCTTAGGAGACAAACCTCTTAGCATATCTTTTAAAACCCAAGTAAACCAGAACTGTAACTACTGATGAGCTTGCAGTAGAAAACACAGGCCTACAATGTTTCTAGCATATTAGCATAATGCACAAATAAAATAAGGTCTGGTGTTAAGCAACTGATACTTGATATATTCCAAATTTAATACTAGCTTGCATAGATGTGTTCTATCCAACTTACTTTAAATTAGTTTCAAAAAAAGGTTGATAAAGACAGAGATTCCTGGCCTGGAGGGACAGTGCAGTGGTTAAGAATGATTGCTTACAGCGGACAGAGTTCAGCGCTACATGTCACAAAGCAAAATATACTGAATATTCCTAGAAGAAAGATCTTCGATCTTACCATAAACCTTTCTACTTATCTGCTCTGACTCTCTTTAGCTGCCACTTCTTCGGGGAAGTCTGACCTGACTTCTCAAGTTGGTGAACAACACTCTCTAAGTAACTTTCTTTCATAGCACTTAACACACAACAGTTATCAAACTTATTTGGGTGGTAGCACACACCTTTGATTTCAGCATTCCAGAGGTAGAGGGATGTTTGTGAGTTCAAGGCCAGCTTGGTCTACATTCTAGACCGGCCAATGCTACAGAGTGAGACTCTGTCTTAAAACAAACAAGAACAAAGATATATTTATATGATCTTTAAAAAAACTAATAATTGACGGTTCCAAATGAAAAATGAGAATAGTGAAAAGAATACTATACATGTGTACATACACACACAGTTCTCTCATTAAGATCTACCATTCCAACCAGAGCAAGTCCTACAAGAGCAGGCACCATGTCTGCTTTTATTTACCTTTGCATCCTTAGCACCAAGTTCAGCTCTTAGAACATGGCATTCACTCAACACCCCGAAAAGTGATGAAGATGAACAATGCCTGCCTGGGGTAGGCTCAATAATCGTTTTAATAAAATGAACTAATATGTCCACTGAAGACCCTAACTTACTCATCAACCTGGAAGAACCCTTGAGAACCCCCTTATATTGGCAAGCTCACTGCTTGAACTATCCTGGTTTCTTTCCCTGGTTCCTGAAGATAAACTGGTAAATACTGCCCCTAAGATGCTGCAATTTTGTGGGAGCCCACAGAGGCTATTTAGTGAGAAATTACTCAGGGTCAGAGAATCTGAGCTTGCTTTACCCAGCACGGCTGCATAAGGAGATGATTTGGCCACAGGCGTGTTCACCAGGCATTTGGAAGGGTCTACACTTGGCTGTGTGGTGTGCTTTGATCTTGTAAGGGGGAGGTCTTTTGCCTCTCCCCTTACAATTTATAAAAAGCCTTTTGAATAAACATTCGAGGCCATTGGGTAGTGATTCAGGCTCTCCTGAAGCTATCCTGAGATTAGGTCTCTCTTTCTATCTAGTATTTTCTTATCCCTCTCTCTTATGAACCCTTCAAAAGGTGGGAGCTGGCCTCCCACACAAGTTAAAGCTGTTCTTTCAAATATAATCTGACAGAACTTAAGTGACAACTTACTTAGTATTTAAGTTAAATAGTTTCCCTTTTCTTGAATTTCAACAATGAACACGAAAACTTACTGTTTTATGAGAGCACTCTGTCAATACACTGTGACATGATTATCCATGCAAAGTCAACAAGGTAATTTTCACAGCTATGAGTAATGGCTGTGAAACTTATGAAACTAATCATGGAAACAACAGTAAAGAGAGTCGAAGAAGAAGTAAACACATCTTTTAGAATAAGCACCATCATAGCACTGGGAGAAAAAATTTAGCAAAATACCTGGGATCTCATGAGATAAAATGGGAGACATATCACCTAAGGATTTAAAGGGTGGGAACCGATCACTACTGTACAACAACAGGACAGTCTGCCATAAGACCCATGTTACATCCAAGGAGAGTCCTGATCTTGTTAGCTCCTCACACTAACCAGATACTGGTAGAACTGGATCATCTCCTCTGTGACAATACTTACCACAAATACTCTTCATGGGTGTTCTATTAGTTTCGCTCACTTTTCGCTTGTGACCCCTTTAAATATACTCACAGATCACTTGAAATTTTAGACACTTCCTCCAATACTTTATTGGAAAGGGAAAAAGAAATTTGTAAGGTGAAAGCAATAAGCATTTTTACCTAGTTAAGTTAAAGTCTGCTGGAGCCCAGAGTAAGTGACAAGAACTCTGAAGTCCATCACGGCCAGCTCTACCAATTTCCTGGTAATAGGATTCCATTTCCTTAGGAGCACCATAATGAATAACTTTGCGAATGTCAGCTTTATTAATGCCCATTCCAAAAGCTATAGTAGCTACAACACACTGAGAAGAAACAATAACACAGTGAAAATCACATTTCAACATAACTAAAACTTAAAATGATAAAACAATAGCTCGTTCACTGATGTAAAGGTGAATTCAATATAACTTCAATTCAATATAACTTCAACTTCACTTACAGACTGAAAGATTATCTATCCAAATACAAATAAAGGTTAGTGACCATAAAATATGATTTCTATTCATCTCTGTACGAAGCAAATAAAGCAGTTTCTTTGGATAACTGCAGCTATGAGAAACAGTTACTATCGTAAATAAAACTTGTATTATTATGAAGTTTCAAGTATCCTCACCTGATAGCAGAATGTCTTATTCTAAGAACTACATCATTCATGACTGAAGAGTGAAATGCAGTTAACGCTACATCTTTTTGATGGGTATAATATCAAGAAGATAAAACTGTCAAACAACCTAATATGAATGAACCTACTAAAGTAGCATTTGTATGGTTGGGAAAAAAAACTCAGAAGAATTAGTAATGAGTACACAGAAAAAAAAATCTTTAAAAACAAGAATATAAAACAATAAGCAAAAATATAACAATATATTATAAGGATTAAAGACAAAGTGTTTAGGTTAATAACTGTATAACAGCTAACCCAAATTATGATGTAAACCAACAGAGAAGTACTGGATAATGCTCTTGTACACTGTAAAGATTTGTCACTCGTATCAGTTTAATAAAATGCTGATTGGCCAGGAGCCAGGCAGGAAGTGTAGGCCAGGCGACTAGACTAGGAGAATTCTGGGAAGAGGAAAGGCAGAGATGTGGCTGCCAACCAGATGCAGAGAAAGTGAGATGAGAATGTTGGACTGAGAAAGGGTACCAAGCCACGTGACTAAACATAGACAAGAATTATGGGTTAATTTAGGTGTAAGAGTCAGTCAGTTATAAGCCTGAGCAATAGGCCAAACAGTTCACAATTAATATAAACCTCTGTGTGTTTACTTGGGACTGAATGGCTGCAGGACTGGGCAGGACAGAAACTTGCATCTACAGGGAAGGAAAAGGGGTCTAGGAACTCACAGGCATGGGAAGGAAAGAACAGTAACACATATGAAAGACAAGTGAACTGCAACATTTTAAGTGGGGAGTCAATAGAGAATCACAAAAACTAATAAAAAAAATTAAGATGGCAGTACAAGCCAATTACGACAAGATACAGCAATAAACACCCAGAGTCAGTGGGAAGGATTGGGAGAGGGGACAGGAGAAGACACTTCACTGGAGACACAACAGAAGTAGCTGCATGTCAAAATAAGATGAAAGTGTTGTTAATAACATACGTTCTGGGATGGGCCAGGAGAATGACAGGAAGGAGGAAAGGAAGAATACAGGAAATCAAAGTAAAACATGCAAAAGAAGGATGAGAAAATGGTAATCATGGCACAGATGTGGAAGTGAGAACTTTAGGCAAAGACAAGAGGTTCTCTACAGCTAGTAATTAATAAGCAATATAATTCCAACCATAACCAGATGATTTTTTCTTTTGATATCAACTAATCTACTAACCAGATTTTCAAACTATGCCTATAAGCTTTCAGGTATAAATTAAAGTTATTTTACCAAATAAGTTATTCATAATTCCATTCAAGAAAAGGTATCTTAAAACATAGGAAGGACAAAGCTAAAGTGTGAAATAAAATTTGAGAACAAACAGTTACATGCAAACAATGGAAAGCTAGATGCACTTGTGATTTGATTTGAGTAGATACTAAATAAAGAATTTTTTTTCTAAAAGTATAAATAGAAAAGAGTTTCAAGCATCAGTCTATCATATGAAGAGCTACAAAGGTCAGCTTCTGTGGCTGCCATAAAACAGAAATCCATTGGAAAATGATAGAAATGACTATAAATTGTTACATAATTGTTACATTGATAAATTCATTAAGAACTCAATAAACACTCGACAGAAAGTAATCAATTCCAAGAGTCCCAGACAAAACTGTACACAAAAGATAACATGTATTTCACCATGTTAAAAAAGGGAAAGGTTTGAAAATATGTGATGCTTCTGAATAATGGCCAGGAAGGAATTTACAGGTCTATCTGTTAGACAAAACACTACCTGATGTTAGCTAGATTGCAACTATTGATATAAAACTTTAATTTTTATAAGATGGACTCAAATTAGTGACTTTCTGCATTGGAAAGGACCACTGAAGATTTTTAAGCCATCTTTTAAAATATTAAAGCTTCAATCAAGTCATATACTTGGCAGTGTGGTGGTTTGAATGAGAATGGCCCTCGTAGGTTTGTATGATTGAATAATGATACCCAGGGGTAGAACTGTTTGCAACGAATTAGGTGATACGGTTTTGTTGGAGGGGGTAGGCTTTGAAGCAGGCTCTGAGGTTTCAAAAGCCTATGCCATTCCAGTTAGCTCTCTCTGCCTGGTGCTTATGGATCCAGATGTGAGCTCTCAGCTGCTGCTCCAGCACCATGCCTTCCTGCCTGCTGCCATGTTCTCCACCCTGATGATCAGAGACTCAACCTCTGGAACTGCAAGCCCCCAGTGAGCTGTTTCTTCTGTAAGTTGCCTTGGTCATGTATCAGAAAAGTAACTAAGACTGGCAGTAAACCAGATGCATCCAACAAACTGCCCTATCACTGAAATAATAAAAACATTAATGAATGTGGACAAACATCTATAAACAATCATAAGAGCTGTTCCTACCATGGGAAAGAATAGGAAGGTCAAGAACTGATGCTTTCAGGCTGAGAGGCAAGCGCCTGTACCCACTGGTCCTTCTCATCTTTAAGTTGGCCAACCACCCAACTTCCTGCTGGTCTCTACACTTCCCCCGACCCCTCACTGTGCCATTCCCACCACTCATCTTCCCCTCCACCCACTCCAAACACCTCCTTCTCTGAGCCCCCTGTGCTCTCACAGGACAGTGTCTCTGCACCTGCTGCTCCTTCCTGGGGTTCTGCAACCAGTGACTTTGCCCTCAGTACCTACTGACCTGGTGAACTTGACAAACTTAGACTCTCCTCGGGTGTCACATTCCTTCACGGCCACTCTCATTACACAACCTACTGTGCCAGAGCTAGTGTTTCCCCTCTGTGTTGCTCAGCAACAGATACATTTTGTTATTTTCACTAAACTGTGTGGCTCACTACACTTATTTGCACTATAGAATGATTGCCCTTATCAGAGTAATTACACTATGCCTAATACAACAAAATTATTTGAAAAATTGGGTGAATAAATATTTGATGGCTACTTCTATTTCTATGAAGAATTCAGAGAAAGAGAGTTGGTCCTCATACCTGAATCTCATCTCTCAGGAACCAATGGTGAACATCCTTCCGTTCACTAATTTTCATGCCTGCGTGGTATGCTCTGCAGGCTAAGTTCAGTTTCCCAAGTTCAGCAGTAACTTGTTCTGTCATTTTTCTGGAAGGACAGTAGATGATAGTAGGACCTTCAAATTCCCAGGCAGAACTGTGGAGAGGGTGGAGACGGAGAAGGCAAACACACCTATCATACGTATGCTTCAGGGTATCGGGCTTTTATCTTTCACAATCTTTGCTTTCTACTAAGTCTTTAAGGAGTCAGCAGACTCAAAAGCCAGTGCTGGAGCTCTCTAAAACCCCAAACGTTGTGGACAAACATGGAAACAAACCATGTGAGGTCAGAACTCTGGCATTCAATATTGGCCCAAATTAGAGTTAAAATCAGCAATCTGGTTGTTTAGAAGAAAACTTGATTTTCAAATTTATAAGGTCTGGCTACAGATACTTCTCGCAAGACAGCACAGTAGACTTGCCTTTGATTATTTAAGAGGTAACTGAATAGTTTCATCATTGCATAAAATATTACATAAGATTTAAAGATAAAACATTACTCCAAGGTTTAAGGATGTGCCCACAGATGATAAAACTGAAAGTTATCTATAAAATACATCAAGTAGAACCAAGGAGATAGATGTGTTAGGGGAGATTATAGTAGGCTGGGCTAAAAATTAATCTCAATTAGCAGAATTAACATAAAAATGAGAAGAAAGCATTTCCATAGAATATTGTTAGGCAAACAAAGGCAGAAAAATAGGAAAATGCAGCACCAGAAAAGACGGGGGAAGGCACTTTAAAAATTCGATCTTTAAGAAGGGAGAGAGAGTCACTGTAAGGAGGAAGAGCCATAGATCTTGGGAATAATGTGCATTGAGAAAGGACCAGAGGTTAGGGGTTAGGTCGTGACATAATTGTAGAAATGTAGAGGACTTTTCCCTTTGCTGTAAAAGGAAAGTGTAGTACAATGTATTCAAGGAGACGCTAGAATAGCAAAAACTATTTTATTTATTCTGTTCCTATTCTGTTCTGAACAACAGGCATAGCTCACTTGTTTCTTAAATTATCCCCTAAGATCCACAACAAGAACCAGTGCTTCCTTGGCCTCGGGTCCGTCTCTTCCACTTTTATCCTTTCTCAAAGTGCAAAACACTAACAATACTCTAAGTTCTTACTTACCTAGATTTCTTTTGTGTTTGTACTGGCAGGAGAAAAATATTTGACTTTATTCAGACTACTTCATATCATGAAAATAGCAACTTTTCACTCAGCAGGCAGGCCAGAGAATACGGCATTATAAAGGTTCTTAGCATACCAAATAAAACATACAAAATATATTTAACAAAACAAATCATAGAAGCACAATGGCCAGCTTCATCAGTACAACGAAGATCGGTAGCTTCCTTGTCAGTTAGACGATTTAGCAAGCTCACTTGTATAAAGCACCTAGGGCAGTCCTTGGAACGGTGCAGACTCCATTTAGACTATTAAAAAAACAAGTCCCTATAGCAGAGGTAGGTCATGTAATTAGTAAAGTAGATAGAACTCATAAGAAAGGTCCATGTCTTATTTGTTCATTTACTTGTAAATTATTACAAGTATATGCCCTATTCAAGTAGTAGCATAAAATAAAAACAATATCAAAAGAATTAGTTCCTGCCCACCTACCCTTCTGCTTCCCTCTCACAGAATATATATGCTTTGAACATCATGGAAGAGTGGACAAATGGATTGTAAAAGCCAATGGTCAGAGAAAACTGGGGTGAATCAGTGTCTCCTGGACATGACAGGACCACTGCACTCATGAACTCAGAGTAGCTGTGGTTGTCTGCACAGGACCATGCCAGTCAGCGCTCTACTATGACGTGAGAAGGACTCTGTGAGCCCCCACACCTAACTGAGACACTAGAGACAGCTGATAGTGTCTGAGATGGGGAGGGTTAGTTTTCTTTAAGGCTATAGCTCCTGACTAGCTGTCCATACACCTGTGGTTGGCCCCCTACCTAGAAGTATATGGACAGCACAAATGAAAATGGATATATTTGTTTTTTTTTAAAAAAAAAAGAGAGTAGTTGAAGTCAGGTAGTAGAGCGATGAATGGATCTGGGAGGAGTTGGGGAAGTAATAAAGGGTAATTACAGTCAAACTATGTTATGTGAAATTCTCAAAAAATTAATAAAAATATTTAATATTTAATGTCCTTTAATCTAGGCCACTGACCTGATTATAAAGTATTACACTTAACTTGAACCAAAGCTACATAAAATTTGAAGCAGTAAACATCTAGAAAAATTTAAATAATTTCTTTAAGAAGAATTTCATCTGTCATTATATCTTTACCTGGACTTTCGGACAAGAAATGGCTTTAGATCTTGAAGGATATTTCCTGTTTTTTGTCTAACTTCTAAGTACAGATTTGGTCGATCAAATCCAGTACAGGTGATCTGAGGGTTTTTCAAGTTTAAGCAACGTATAATATCTTCCTGGATCGAAGAACTTGCAGTAGCAGAGAGGGCAATGACTGGAACCTGGGTAAGATACAAGGTAATAGATTTCAAAATGATGGGAAGCGCATTGATTCTCATTGTCCTCTCACAAAGCAACCGTCATGACAACACAGGAACCATGTCCAAGACTCTCACACTATTGTTTTGTCTAAATATTTATTTCTTTTTGTCATGTGGGGGATGAAACCCAGGATCTTGGGCATGGCATGTGAGTGCTCTTCCACTGAGCTACATGCCCTGAGTAAAGAAGAAAAAATGTTTTTAAAAGAGAAAAATTATCTCCTACTTAGTAGCACTAAACCCATAAGATTTCAATGCAATTTATCTTGTTCCATTAAATTAAAACTACTTATTAGTCATCTATACTCTAGTGCTGATAGAAGCAGGGATTATATTATATTTGGTTTTTTTTTTAATAATCTGTAATTCACAATTCACAAGCCCTGGCGGGTTATAATTTAATAACCTAGCTTCATAAAACAATTTATCTTTTCTTTGGCAAGTAGGTTTCATCACAAGTTATACTGGTACACAGCTTTTCAGCTGTAGAAGCAATGCTCTCAACAGCCTTGACAACCTCTCTTCGGGTTCGATGAGTTATCAGTGCCATACTGCACATATCAAATATGTAGAGAGTGAAACGTGGACTGACTGATTCCTTAAGACACCAAGTCATAGTCTATTCTCAGCCTAGCAATTCTTGACAGAATGAGCAGCAAAATCAGGAGGCACAGTGGGTAGCACAAAAAAATTAATATTACTTTCAGAAAGTAAAAGGTAGGTGAGCAAAAGACCTCCCATATAAATCTCTCATGTCTTATCACTATTATAATGGGAATTACATTTAACCAAGGTACCACTGCATTATCAGAAGAAAATAAGTAGACTTAAAATTTATTTCTAAATCATTAGCCATTCTATTGCTAAGAATACAATTCTCTTTTTAAAATGCTTTTTTACCTATTATAGATAGAGGAAACAATATCCTCATAAAATTGGTTACTTAAATATACTGTGACTACCTCACAAACTAATTTAAGCATTTATCTTATAGCTAAGTATAAATGCATGTGCAGCCTGCCAATTTACAAAGAAATATGTGTATAATTTGACTTAAAATTAAAACAAAATACAATTTCTTGGGGAATGAATATGATCCAAGTTCATTAAATATGTTATAGAGATATAATGAAACTCATTATTTTGAACAATGTAAGTTAATAAAGATTAAAATGGTCAGTATAAAATAAATATTACCAGTAAAAATACTATAGATTTAGACAAAGCTTCAAGCATTACTTAATTTTTGTGAGTTTAGAAAAATAAAGCTTATTTTCAGTCATACACAGAGAGGAACAGTTAAATGCCTGAAGGTGTAGCTTGGTGGGAGGGTGCCTAGCATATACAAAGCCTTGGGTTTGGTCCTCAGCACTAAATTAAGAAAATTTTGGTTCTCAGCACTAGCCAAGAAATAGCTACTCTTACAATTAATATAACTTAATTGCATTAGAAAGCATCTGAAGTCATATAAAAATAAACTAGTCCAATGAAACCAAGTAATTGGAATCATTTTTTTGAATTGTTGATTTTTAAATTTTGTGAAACTACTTTAAAATGTAACCCCAAATTAATTTCATTTATTTCGGGCTAACAATCGAACTGTTCTCTGCATTGGGAATGTATCTGTTAGTGACTAAGTCATGAAAAACTCAATTTTTAAAGGAATTAGTTTCTATAACTAAGCATTAAAATGGATATATCTATGTTAATATAAGACACAAACACAAGTCTGAGAATAAGGAATGCTTAGTATTTAGAGGACCTTATCAGGTGTGGTGGCACACGCCTGTAACTCCAGCACTCAGGAGGAAGAAGGAGGAAGACAGCAAGGTTGGAGTTGGCCCCAGCTACACAGTGAGACCCTGACTAGCAAAAAAAAAAAAAAAAACAAAAAAAAACACCTTAGCTAACATTTAAAAAGGAAATGTTAAAATTGCCTATGAATTTACATTTTTAACCTTACATGAACCAAGAATTTTTATCACCATAAAGGTTTTTATCACTTTATAAATGTACTAATAAACTCCTCACTTAATTACATATGCAGATAAGAGAAGTTTTGAGTATACAGCTCATTTAAAAAAGAAGATGAGGTTTGCTTTAATTAAAAACAGACTAGGCTTTCTTAGAAGGAATACAATGTATGAGTGGACAGATAACATGTTTATGAAAGTAAGGAAATGATCATAAATATAGTTTCTAAAAGCTAATAGAAAAAAATCAGACAAATGAATGCACAGTAGTGGGACAACCTAAGTTAGATAAGCCTACTATGGTTCAAATTCTGCTTTTGTCCCTTATTAGATGTGGGACTTGACTGTTTAACTCCCTAAGCTGCAGTTTCTCTCCTCTGTAAAATGGCTATAATAACAGCATCAGTCTCATCAAACTAAACAGCAAATGAGACAAAACATCAAAATGCGCTAGGTGGGTGTGGTGGTTTGAATGAAAATGTCCCTCGCAGGCTCCTAGGGGAGGCACTATTAGGAGGTGTGGCCTTGTTGGAGGAAGTGTGTCACTGGGGGTGGGCTGTGAGGTTTCAGAGGCTCAAGCCACACTCAGTGTTACTCTTCCTGCAGCCTTCAGACCCAGATGTAGAACTCTCAGTTACTTCTCCAGCACCATGTCTGCCTGCAGGCCACCATGCTTCCCACCATGACAATAATGGACTGAACCTCTGAACTGTAAGCCAGCCCCAATTAAATGTTTTCCTTCATAAGAGTTGCCATGGTCAGTTTCTTTTCACCAATTTTTGGCAATATAAGCAACAAAATATAATACACATAATATAATGCAAATTAATCTTATGACACTATATATACATTTAGATGGCTCTTAATTATATACTCCATGACACAAAGGTTGAAAAAACAGCCATTCTGTTTCCAAATTAGATCACACTCTGTAAAATACACACAGCTTTTAGGTATTTATTCTCTTGTTCCAGTTGCTCAGTGTCTACTGTGTGCTGGTCATTTTAATTGGTCCTTGGGACAAAGTAATAGGAAAAGCCAATGTGTCTCATGGACTTCTAACATACTTCCTCCTGGTTGAAGACACATTTTAAAGGCTATGCAAAGCTTTTACCTGCCGCTCCTTCTCTGGGCTCACTTTTATAATTCCCTCCAAATGGGCTTTTTGTGTCAACTGTTTGGTTGATTTCTAGTATTTTTGGATTCACTATAATAATTTGGTGTGATGCATTCAGGTTTACAACAGTAATCCTAGTGTAATGCCTCAAAACATTAAGACCAAAGACAATGAGAAAACTGAGATCCCACAGGTGGCATTTCTTGCCACTCCCTAACAGAGAAGTTCTTAAAAACCCAGGGTAAAGGATCCTCCGCTGCTTGAAGAACAACCTGCCAAGACTCTCAACTGGAGGAATATGCTGCTTAATCACTGAAAGAACTGAAAATGATCTCATTATGTCCAGAGCTAGACATAATAAAAGATTTAATTCCACCTGAAGAGTGTTCAAGAACTGCTTAAAATATTTAAAACTCCTTTAACATAATTCTAGAATCAAAGGCCTAGGAAAGGATTACAAAAGCACTCTTCCTGATTCCCAATTGCACAGCTCTCTCTATCTCTTTAAACCATTCTAACTTAGTGGAAACCAGTCCTGCAGAGCAGTGTCTAATAACCTGCACTGTGAGCATACCTTCCCTTGCTCCCCCATGTGACCTGTGCTATTGGCACTACTCGTCTTCCTGTATTACTTGTGCCTTTCTGTGCATAATGTATCACTTGTTTCTGTTGCTTCTGCTTACCCAGATGTGGAACTCAACCTCCTCACTGGACTAGGAGCTACTTAGGGTTTGTTGCTGGGGATGTCTTTCGGTATGCTGTGAATGTGTGTTGCTCTGATTTGGTTGATAAATAAAACGCTGATTGGCCAGTAGCCAGGCAGGAATTATAGGTGGAATAAGCAGAGAGGAGAATTCTGGGAACAAGAAGGCTGAGTCAGGAGTCGCCAACCAGACACAGAGGAAGCAAGATGTAAAGACAGAACTGAGAAAAGGTACCAAGCCACGTGGCTAAACATAAATAAGAATTATGGGTTAATTTAAGTGTAAGAGCTAGTCAATGGTTAGCCTGAGCTAATGGCCAAGCAGTTTTAATTAATATAAGCCTCTGTGTGTTTACTTGAGTCCAAGTGGCTACAGGGCTGTGGGAGCCAAGCAGGACCAGAAAAACCAGGTGCAGTTTGTCCCTTTGAAGTCATTTGTTTAGAAATCAGCACAGTATACTATAGTATACTATGCTGTATAGCTATTTACCACCCAACTCTTTTATAGCTACCTATGTAGAAAAGTTACTTCATTAATTCCAAGCCTTCTGGCCAGAATTCATTCATTCCTTCAAGTAATTATTGATCAGCTGTTAAGAGTCAGGTACTACCCCTGCATACATAAACCAAAAGAAACAGAAAAACTCCATCTTGTTATGGTTTAGACACAAATTGTCTTATCCATGTGTGAAAGGGTGACTCTCCAGGTAACAGACCCAACTACTGAGAGGTAACTGGATCATGAGAGCTCTAATCTGATCCAGTGGTTTAATCCAGTGATGGATTCCATTAATAATCTACTGCCATGAACATGAAAGACTCTATAACATAAAACTCAGTGAGATGTGGTTATCAATCTTTGCCTTTATTTGGTGAAATGGCATACTACAATGGGACTTTGCACAGAAGACACACATCTACCAGACATATTCAGAAGTATCACTTTGACTGCTGTACTGAAACAGACTAGAGATGGAAACCAAGAGGTTACTGTAATAGCCTAAGTGAAAGAAGGTGTAGGTTAGCACCAGAGACATGGGATCATGAGAGAAGTGATCAGAGTCTGGATACACTTGGAAGACCTCACAAGATTTCCTTAGTGTTGAAATGTACAGTGGAGAGAGGTTAAAAAGTAAAGTTATCAGGTGTAGTGTGTACCAGGTACACATTTGCAATCCAGGCACTGGGGAGACAGAGGCAGGAGGATCTCTAGTTTAATTGTAGTGAGAGAGTCTGAAGAAAAAGTGTCAGGGTGGGAAGGTCACCAGAAGTCAGTTTGGGATAGATTAAGTCTGAGGTACCCACTAGGAACCTACATAGAAGACTCTTAAGTAGGCAACTGTGTGTATATACACATCCTATAAGTCTCCTATAATATGTGTGATTTATATTCAATAAAATGGCTAAAACAAAATGTAGTGACAATACCAAATGCTGGCAAGTAGGCAGAGGAACTCAGTCATATGTTGGTGGTATTAACCCACAACAGGGATGTAAATTTGAGAGGTCTCTATAGATGGATGGCATTTAAATCTGTATGCTATATGAGACAGCCATGAAGATAAACACAGAGGAAAGACAGTGTGTCTAAAGACTAAGGTACCAGGCATGCTGACCTTAATCAAACAGGAAGTACAAAGAACAGAAGAGACTTGAGGAGAAGGGCATGGTGGGAAAGAAAGAAATCCAGGAAAGTGTGGGCTGTCTTGTGACAACTGAAGAAATGATGATAATAATGGCTATCTTGATGAAGGGTCCTGAGGTTATCCCAGACAAGAGTGCCTGACCCAAAACCAGACCCATACTCAGACCTCAAACCACATCAGTTTTCTTCTCATCCCATATTCACAGCTGCTAACTGTAACATTAAGTTTTTGCTATTGCTGATGATTTGTTTTGTTTACTTAATTCCTGCTCAATCAAATCCTCATGAGAAACCCAAACAAAAAGAAGTATTTTTAAAGATAGCAGTTTGCTATTAATATGCAAGATTAGTGATTAATGAAACTGAGACAAGCTTACCAAAGGGATAATAACATTCTATGTTTTTCTCTGTTTAACCCATTTAACTGTGAAATGTGCTCAGGAGGACCTTTCTATCATCAGGATCTAAGCAGAGGCCACTTTGTTTATACAATCAAAATTAATACAGTGGACTCAAGACCAAGAAACAAACTGACATACATCCAACTGATTTTCAAGAAGGGCAAAAGCAATTCAGTAGTTAAAAGGCAGACTTTTCATCCAATGCGGGGGAGGGGAATTCCTGTTTCTACATCTCATAGCATGGGATTAGACAAATGCTACTATGCTTTCTATGGATTTCGTGGATTCAAGCTCTTGTCTTCACACTTGTATGTATGGTGAGCTCTTTACCTGACATGCCATCTCTGCACCCTCTTAGACCTAAATTCAAAACACACACATTTTGGAAAAAAAACATAGGCGCAAAATTTCAAGATCTAAGACTAAGGGACAAAATCCATTAAGGAAAAAAAAAATCAATATTCTGGATTTCATCCAAATTTATATTCTTTATAAAAGACAATATGGCTAGGAATGGTGGTGCACACCTTTAATCCCAGCACTCAGGAGGCAGAGACAGGCAGATCTCTGTAGTTGGAGGCCATTCTGGTCTACAAATTGAGTTCCAGGACAGCCAGGGTTATACAAAGAAACCCTGTCTCAAAAAAATATATATATATAAAACTGAAGAAAAATAAAACTTATAAAGAAATATTTACAAGCTAAATATCTGACCAAAGACTCAAGTTCTTTTAATTAAATTCTTAGAAGTTAACAGAGGGACTGAGGAAATGACTCAGTGAGTATTAGGACCTGAGTATAGATCCCCAGCACCAACACAAAAGCCAGGCACAGCATGCACACCTATAACCCCAGGATTCCTGAACAGAAAGAACCCAGGAGCTTGGCAGCCAGCCCTTCAAGCACAGCTGGTGAGCTCCCTGGCTAGGGAGAGACTGCGCTTCAAATAAAATGAGGTGGAGAGCAACAGAAGAAAACACCAATATCAACGCAGGCGCTGCACTACAGAGTACAGCGCGCGCGCGCACGCGCACACACACACACACACACACAAACTCTCTCCCCCCATCTCTCTCACACACACTTATCAGGAAAAAAGTTTAAAAACACAACCCAATTAAACCAGGAATTTCACCAAATAAGTAAGAAGCATACGAAAAGATCTTCAAAGCGGCAAGCTATTAGAAAATGCAAACTGAAAACACAAACTATCACTGCACCTCTATCATAATTGCTAATACATAGCAGTAAGACAAAACAGTACAAAAGCGAGAAGAAACTACTGTTCATACGCTGCTGCGGGAGAGGATACAAGATAGTGCAGCCAGTCTGGAAAGAAGTACTGTGGATCTTCCTAAAAATGAAACAAGCACTTCCCACAGGAGCCAGCACCCACAATCCTGACATTTATCCCAGAAAACGAAAAACTTATGTACACAAGTTATATGATCATTGACCTATTGAAGGACCCTGCGGGTATATACAAACGTTCACAGTATCCTCATCCGTAATATCCTAAATCCCGGAAACAACCCAAACATTTTCTACCAACTGTGATGAATAGGATGATGCAGTCCACACCCCATTTTATAATGACCCATTAGTCAAGAACAGAGTAACTACATTTTTGTGGAATGTTTTAAAAAAGAGAATTGAGAGAAATATATGTCAAACTCATACTACAGACCTAACCTCTCCAGCCACATTGGCTTTTTATGGTTTCAGAGTCCTGTGATCAAACACAGTCTAAATACATGAAACAGAAAACAATTTAAATGTCTTAAATTTTTCACCATTCTGAGCAACGTGATGAAACTCTGCACTGTAGGTCCAATGTTGTCACTCCATTCTCCCCAAGTCCAGAACACCCACCCAATTCATATTTCTCACCAGTTAGCCTCTCATTTACCAGACAACACTCAAGCTAGGGAACATTTGTGGTTGGGTACTCTCTATTCTACTTGATAATGGCCCACATGGTCAAGAATAATGAGTGTGGGCATTTTTATTACAGTATATTGTCACAGCTATTCATTTTTAAAAGCCTTCCATTATCCCTAATTTATAACAAAGGGGTAGTTCGGGCACCCACTGGGGTTCTTGGAGCTGTATCCCCTGTCATTAAAGAGTAATAACTGCCGTTTTTAGCTGATATTTTCAGAACCTGTTGGACAACTCTTGTCCCAGGTAGGAGTATCCAACCTGTGCCCTAATGGCTAGGGGATGTGACACAACACAAAATAAACATTGAGATATTTTTGTGATTTTTTTTTGTTTTAATAACACAATTTTACAGTTCTTAAGGGTAAACTCACAGATGACAAGGGAGGAGCTCAACATCAGAGATTGGACATTCCAGGTAGAGAGTATCTTTAATACGATACATGCCAACCTCAAAAGGAAGCCAATGCTAGAATTTCAAAAGTTAAATAAATTCTCTTGCTTACACCTGACACCTTGCTGTTCATACATTACTCAGTCCTGGAGAGTACTTGGTAAAAATGTCACTTCCAGACAGTAAACCTGGGGTTGGGATTGAGTTTAGTGGGAGAAGCTCTGGGCTCAATCCTCAGCTAGGATGGGGGTGGGGACATCAGACCCGGCAAAGCTTACCAATGGGAGTGCTATTTTAAGAGATCCCAGTGTCCTGAATGAACTTCTAAAATCATGGCCCCACTCAGAAATACAGTGAGCCTCGTCCACAGCAATAAGTGTGATACCTACAAAAAAGAAAATATGCATGGAAAAATAAGGCTTAAAAAGAAAAAAACACCATCTAAGTTAATATTTTTTTTTCTATTAGAGTATGTGCCTTACAGAAATTATAACCCAAATAAAAATGTTTGGCACACACACACATATAAGAAGCATAAATGACACCAGATAATATCAAAACTCATAAATAAAAATAGGAGGGGAAAAGAGAAATGAATAAAGGGTATTAGAATAAAGGAAATTTTTATATATTAATTCTAACAACATACTATGTTTCAGCTTTCATCAGTATTCCTCAAAGACAAGAATTGCTTACTATTACTTTGTCCCAAAATTATCACTTATAAACCATCTGCAACAATGGTTCTTTCAAAAGAACCATTCTATTTCTCTTTGGCAATAATGTTAATCTTATCTCATAGATTAGCTATCAAAGGAGACAAATAGTCAGCACATTTCTATTGAGATTAAGTACATCATTATCCATGATCGAGCACATATCACATTGCAGGAAGTTCCTCTGAAATGCCAATGCGTGAAGACACAATGACATCCACATTGTCTAACATAAAATGGAATGGAAAGAACTAAATCCCACTGTGTACAAAGTAAGTCAAAAGGAATATAACTCTTTACTCTGCCCTACACTAAAACAAGATCAATAGTGCCTTGAAATGATCATCCATCAAAACATCTTCAGATATTTCAATGTACTGACTAGTAATGCCTTTACCATTTATTATAAAATTAATTCTTTTAAGAGAAAAAATAACTTTTTATTACTTGCTATTATGTTCTATCAGTGAAATGATTAAAAACATGTGCTTTAGAATCAGACTGGCTGTACACAAAGCATTGAGCAAGTTATAAATCTTTCCAGTTCTCGGTTTCCTCAAAACTACAATATAGAGCTGTTGAGATGGGTTAGTGGGCAAAAGCCTTGAGAGCCTGAAAAATTTAGTTCAACCCTCAAAACCCACAATGGACAGAGTAATTGACTCCCAATGTTGTTCTCTGACCTTTACAAACACATTGTGGTATTTGTACACACATGCACACATACACACACACACACACACTTATATGCATACACACACCACCACCATCATCATCATTACCATCATCATAAATTAAAATAATACACAGTAGGTAGAAACAGCACCTAACACTTCTTACTACTCTAAGGTTAAATTAGAACATGCACATAAAGTATTCATATAAGGTCTGGCGCCAATTGGAGCTTAATAAAACTATACTACCATTGTTATTACTACATGGCCATTATGATCTAAAGCCTTGTCAAGAGCCAATGTGACAGACATGCATCTAATTACAGGGTCAGAAATTCATCTTCAGCCACAAAGAGATTTCAAGATTTGCTTGAGCTACAGAAGGCCCTGTCTAAATAAATTAATTAAATTAACCCTTTTCTAGGTAACCAAGACACACTTAACTTTAAGGATTTCATGGTTCTTAAGAGGAGACAAAAGAAACACTGGCCATTCCTTAAGATTATAAACTACAGTGAAGTCCTGAGAGTATGTGTGTGGGTGTAAATATGTATATATATCTTTGCTTTACATATATATGTGTGTGGGTATTTATATATATAGCACACACACATATACACACATGCACACATATACACACACATATGCACTACCACCAAGTGTTGGGAAAATTCCAGTGTTACTTATTTTGACTTTAGGAATTAAAATGACCATATTTTAAGTTAAATGCAGTAGAAGCCTGTAGGTGCAGATCTGACAAGGTGTGAATGGAGTTGAACTTTGACCTGCATAGTTAGTTCAGTTAGTTAAGCTTTGGCTCACATTCACTTTGAATGCAAAAGTTCAAATGTCTTCCCAGGTCCTATACATATTTCATTCAAGTATAGCTGTCACTCAAGTCTCATTCCCAAAGTTAAAAGACAAGGGCAAGTGCAGCTGGGAAAGCATCCCGTATGGAAGTGTGTTTGCCATTTCTGTAACAGATCCAGACTCCTTAAAAACATTTAACATTTACCTAAAAATGACAAATCTGATTAGTTAAATGTCAGACTACTGTACAAATAACATCCCAAGTATATTCATTTTGTAGGCATTTTACAATTTCCTGTAAGCAAAAGCCTACAGGAAATATTTCAAACAAAATTTTCATGTAGCTTATCCCTTTTTCTAAATCACCCAGAGAAAACATTTTCATCCATTAAAAGCAAAAAACCTCCGCTCTAATGATGAAAATATTTATCTACGTTGTGGGGATTTGTTTGCTTGCTTGCTTGTGCATTTATTTTTAAAAGAGAGGGGAGCTCAGACTAGCCTCAAACTCTTGATCCTCCTGAATCAGTCTCCTAGAACTGAGACCATATTTCCATACCTAGCAAATGCTTCTTTTTTAGAGAAAAGAAAATGAAAGAGAAAACCACAATGCACAAAACATATAATGTCGAGGGAGAATATGAGGCCTCCGTGGGTAAAAGCACTTCCCTCCAAACCTAATAGCCCAAGTTTAATGCCTAGAACCAACATGGCTGAAGGAGAGGACCACCTCCCTTCTCTTGCAAGTTATCCTCTGACCCTCACTCCAGCCAGCATACAGAGTAAAAATAAAAATAAAAATTAAAAATTAAACATGCCAGGTGTAGTGGTACATGCTGTTAATCCTGGCACTTGGAGGAAACCCTATCTCAAAAAACAAACAACCAACCATTAAACATGATGAGGCATGAACTCAGGCCTGGAGCACACTAGGCAAACATCAATGAGCCACACCCTCAGCTCTGCAGTGTTAACAATCTACCCATCTCAAAAAGTTAAAAAGAATAACTACTTGTAAAAAGCACTTAATGTTGATTAACTTTCAATAATTATTCATTTAACATCATTATAAAACTAAAACAAATACTAAGGTGGAATAAAATATATTGAGATTACTAGAAACATGGATACCAATTTTTTAGATATAACCATGAAATTGATCTATAAGGTAATTGGGCTTAACCCATAGGAAAATGCTCAAAAGAACTTTTTATAGACTAATAGGATACATCTCAATTTTTTTCTATTTCAGGTGAAAACATGCCAATGAGAGCTAAACTGATAATATAGTTCCTTAAATTAGTGGTTCTTAACCTGTGGGTCAGGACCACCTTGGAGGCTAAATGACCCCTTCACAGGGGTCACCTAAGACCATCAGAAAACAGATATTTACATTACAATTCATAACATTACAATTTCATAACAATTCTTATTTACATTACAATTCAAAATTACAGTTATGAAGTAGCTATGAAAATAATTTTATGGTTGGGGGTTACCACAACATGAAGAACTGTATTAAAGAGTTGCAGCCTTAAGAAGGTTGAGAACCACTGCCTTAATTGTTAATTTATGCCCTCATTCTTTGTTGGTTTCATCATATACTAAAATAAAAATGTTTGCTTTCACTGTATTTGTTAAGAGAAACTATTAAATACATTCCTAACACACAATGTTAAGTGATATGGTCCATGTCAAGGGTTACTATTGCTGTGATAAAACAGCATGACCAAAGCAACTAGGGAAGAAAACTTAGTTTACTCTTCCACGTCACCTTCATCACTGATGGAAGTCAGGGCAGGAACCTTGGTGTAGGAGCTTATGCAGAGGTCATAGAAGGACTCTGCTTACTGACTTTGCTCCTCATGGTTTGCTCAGCCTGCTTTCTTAAAGAACCTAGAAAGGTTTCTTAGCAGCCCAGGGATGGCCCGACCCACAGTAATCTGGGCCCTCCCCCATCAAACACTAACAAAGAAAATGCCCTACAGGCTTGCCTACAGCCCGATCTTACCGAGGCATTTCTTAGTTGAGGCTCCCTCCTCTCTGATGACTCTAGCCTGTGTCAAGTTGACGTAAAACTAGCCAGCCCAGTACAATGCTGAATACTTAATCTATATGAAATTACTTAACCTCATTCTTCAAAAAGATCCTACAAATTGAGAAGAAATTTTATGCTACAATTGGACAAAATTCAAATTGTTTCAAACATGGATGACATGGGTCTCCTTTGGAACTCTCAGCTGAACCTAACCACCATCAAACAAATGAACAAAGACATATGAAAGTGCTTAAGTACAAACAGCGTCGCAGCACTTGACTAATTTCACATTTACATGTTCTAGGGCATAAGCTGTTTAAGAACATTTTTCTAAAGTTTGAAGGGTGACTCATGTGAACAAGAATAAAGAAACACTATACTAATTTAATTTAGCCTCAGAAGATGAAAAAAGAGAAATCTCAGAATCTAGGATTTAACATTCATTCAGTGGCACACAGAGACAAGACAACTATGTGCCAAGTCCTGTACTGAGGAAACAGAAATGAATAAGAACAGTATTTTTGTCTCAAAAGAGTTTATAGTGTAAGAAGCAATACATGCCTGCATGTATACAAATATAACACCAACCCTGGAGTCCCACCTCTATGGAATGAGGAATTACAGGTTATTATAAAATAGGGCAAACACAAAATTGGTTTGCTCCTAGAGGAGCAAACATTTGAAATCAACCTTTCTGAAATCTAGTCTCCATCCATGGGTTTCCTTTGTGTTCACAAAAGTCCTATTTTGTTACTTACCAATATTAGACTCAAGTTGCTGGAGTAGGTCCAGGTTACCAGAACAGAATTCTGGAGTTATGTATATGATCCTGTATTTGCCTCTGCAAAGACAAACCAAAATAGAAACAGAAAAAGAAACACTCCAATAAAGAAAGCAATCAAGAGTACCAACTTAAAATCAAAATAGGTTTTTAAGTCACATAACAGGGCCGATTACACAAAAACAAAGGAATGCTATGCACACACATGCACACGTGGTAGTTCTTTGATTTATCTTCAACTCATCAAAATAAAATGCAGTAATTCCTGTCAGGGAGCATTCGGCATGAAGGCTGTATTTCAAGCCAGATCCTTGTTTCTAACAGTCCAGTCCCAAAACAAAATGCCCAAGCTAGATGATCAAGCCTTTGTAAACTTTTTGTATTATCCCACATCTACACACTCCACCTGTGAGAGCTAAAATCCAGACTCCTTGTTCTCTCGTGATTAAGACCTCAATATCCCAGTTTATTCTCTGTATTCTGCTGACAGGAATAAATGCTCAGTTAAAGGCAATCCCTCCTAGAATATGAACACCCGATCAAGAAGCAACCAGTCAACATAACATGTCAAAGTGGGAGAAGCAAAGCAGCCATCTTTTATTTGGTGACTGATCTCTTCAGAAAGAAAACATGAAAGGAGACCGTATGTAAAAAGAAAGGTCTTTTGTGTTCTCCATGCCCAGTTTTTCTCAGTGAGAGCCAAGTGAAATTCCTTTATCCTTAAAATAAAATTCACTTTTTGCTTAAACTATTTATGTTAACTTGCTATTATGACAGGTTTTATAATGAAGGCTAGAAACTACTTATGGTGTCTTCACTTTACCAAACAAAAACAGATCAAATTAGACTTCATTTTCTAGATAAAAGTTTGTTTTTAATTCATCCATTCAACAAATATTTGAGTTTCTATTACATGTCAAACATTGTATTTCCACTAGGAATTTATTAGGCATAGAATAAACTTTCCTTTATCTCCAGGAAATTAATACAATTTTCTAATTACTATAAGGAACAATAAAAATAATAAAATCTGGTGTCATTCTACCCAGGTGTGGACTCAGTTCTCCTTCCTACAAGAAAACCAATCTGAGACGAGTTAGCTAACTTCAGTGTATCCCAGTTTCTTGAATATTAGCTGTTTCCTTAGAGAACCAGACTTAGGGCATCTTGGTTAAAATGGACACAGGAACATTCCCAGAACTAAAGAGCAGCCAGAAAAACTAATGCAACTCTGAAAACAATGAGCGTAATTGGAGGGCTTGTTCTCCAGACAGGCAGGCTTATTAAAATAGCTATGGTAACCAAAACAAACAGGTCCACAGAAGCATGAGCAGACATGCAGCAAGCAATCTGCACACACCAGTTCATTTCTGAGAAAAAAGGGGACCCAGGAGAGAAGAGATGGAGCTAGAACAAAACTACCCCCCTCAACAGAATTATTGAAAGAGGAAGAAAGGCCATAAGCTAGCAAAGTATCCATAAAGTACATATAAATAAGAGATCTGTATCCACAATTATATAAATTGCCACCAAAACAGGGTTAAAAAATGGAAAGTGGCAAAAGATCGGAACAGTCGCTTCCACAAAGGTATACACACAGCAATAAACGTAAGATACTCAACATAATTAGACACCAGAAAAATGCAAATTGAAAATACAATGAGATCCTGAAAATACAATTAGTGGCTAAAACCAAAGACCGACTAAGAAATGACAGGTTTGGCAAAGAATAGGACTTATCACGCAGTGCCACTGGAGATGTGAATAGTGGGATCACGCTCAAGATGTTTGACAGTTCCTTAAAAAGTTCAGCATGAAATAGGCACATGACCCAGCAATTCTGCTCCTAAGCATGCACACAGGGAACTGAAAACACACACTCATCCAAAAACTCCTGCATGAAGGTTCAGTGCACTTCGCCTGTTATCACCACCTCTAAACAGAAAAGCCTCAAATGTTCATCATCAAGGATTAGATAAACAACATGCGGGCTGTCTAGACATCAGAAAATTATTCAATTAAGAAAATAATGAGCCGGGCGTTGGTGGCGCACGCCTTTAATCCCAGCACTCGGGAGGCAGAGCCAGGCGGATCTCTGTGAGTTCGAGGCCAGCCTGGGCTACCAAGTGAGCTCCAGGAAAGGCGCAAAGCTACACAGAGAAACCCTGTCTCGAAAAACCAAAAAAAAAAAAAAAAAAAAAAAAAAAAAAAAAAAAAATGAGCCCCAAATCTTACACAAAGATCTACAGGCCACAAATACAAAGAGCAGGAGAAGTGATTTTCTCAGGGGATTAGCACACTACTACTAAACGGTCAGCCCTGAAAACACACACACAAGTAACAATAGACAGACTGAGTGGATTCCACTTGGGAATATACATGTATATACACATATGCGTGTGATAACAATTATTGGGGGAAAAGTTGTAAGTGTAAAAGAGCACAGGGAGGGGTATATGGGAAGGTTTGGAAGAAAGAAAGGAAAGGAGAAATGTAAATATGTTATAATTTCAAAAATAAAGTTTTTTTATAAAGACTTTTCAAATATGGACAATTTAGTCATACCTTAAATAAAAATGTACATAAAATTCTCTTATACTATAAACATTTTACAATCTGAAATCATATAAATTACTCACAATTTAATATCTCCTAGAATATTTTTTGATTGTGCTGATCCAAGTAAACAGGCTGGAATGTTGGACATTCTAAAAAGACAAATATTCTGCATCAATACACACATTACAAACACTAACTTCATTCTCAAAGAAGAGATTTAATAATATATATTCCTCTTCTTTCTAGTATTCTTTCTTTTCACATCTTGCTAACCTGATATACTCCTTCAAAAGCCTGATGAGACTACTTTTTAATGTGGGTTTTTCAAGAAGAAATTTAAAGGTTTTCACAGATAAAAAGTAAACTTTAGGCTTAGAAGAGGGTATATATAATCCAAATATATAAGAAATTTTCAGAGAACTAATAAGAACATAGTTTAAAAAGTAAACTTTTATATATATAACTTATATCAAGCTAAAGAGACCAGACAGCAGAGCGACAAAAAAAAAAATATCAAAAATTATATGGCTTTTAGAAACAGCCATAGTAAACTGGCATAAAGCAAGAAATCTTTTTAAAGCCTGCCCAGGACAATCTGGTAGCCTTGAATTAGAGAATTTAAGAATGAATGTAAACTCTTCCACTAACACTTCGTTTGCTACCAATAAATGCAGCCAGGTGTGGAAGGGCAGGCTCTGTATGCCCAAAGCCTGCAGGGCAAGGCAAGAGGACAGAGTGACAGTATCCCGGACTATACATAGCAAGACTCTATCTAATTAAATAAGATCAAGTCACTTTCAAAAACATATTACTGTGAACTAGATTTACATCCATCATCTGATATTTCATGTCTAGAATAAACACAGGAGGAGAGCTGGGCAGGTGGACACTGAACGGAGAAGACTGAGGCCGTTGAGGCCAGCTTGGCCTGCATAGTAAGATCCTGTCTTAACATGTTCTTGCTGGCTTGCTTATCAAAGACAATGATGCAACAATGAAACTACTACTTACTCAAGCTGGAGAACTTGGTCTTCCATCAAAGAAATGAGAGGTGAAATAACAATGCCAACCTTGCCTGCATAAACAGGTGGGTACTGGAAGCACAAACTCTTCCCATATCCTTGAATAAAAATCATACACAAAAATAAAAATAACCTCTGGGTGTTTTACTTTCTTCTTACAGTGTGCTTGCATAGCAGAATAAATACACTTATAAGGTAAGTCATGCATAAATATAAAACCTTTTCCATGTTCACTTTCTCCTCTATTTAAGTTTGTGAAAGATTAAACACCTTTATGATTTTTAAATGATTGAATTATTTACTTTAAGTGTAACTTACCAGTTGCCATGACAACAACATTATCTCTTCTTTCTTCTAATACAGAATGAATGACTTTCCACTGAACCCTTGAAAGTAAAAAGTAAAGTGCTTTATCAATAACAATCCAATGCACAAGTTAAGACCTATTTAACTTCTGCTCTCTAATAAACTCAGACTTTTTCAGTTTCCTATATAAGTATGTGTAAGTCCTAGGATTTTTAGACAAAAACACCCTTAGATCAACCTCTCATTCAGACTGACCAAATAACAAGTTTTCATATAGCATGTGCATTAAATTTTATTACATACATCAAAAGTATAAAATAAACCCCCATCTTTATACTATATACCCAAAAGAACCAATATTTTAAAATAAGTAAGGGGAATGTTGTAGGTTTGAAATGAGAAACCTATGGAAAAGTGATAGATAGTCAAGGGGAAAATCTACTGGAGGTGAGATCTGCATATGCAGATGACAATCTATTCTTATCTGAGTGCTGTCTATAAGACATGCTGAGTTGTCAGAACCTCCTTCTCATACATCTATGTGTGTCCTTCTGTACATAGGATATATTTTAATCTTGAAAAAAACTAGGAAGAAATGTTTCTATGGATTCTATTTCAATTTCTCAAAACTGGAAACACCCAGTCTAAATTTTTACTTGTTTCTAATCTCACATTTGTTCATCTCATGTTTCTAGTTATTGATGGGATCTTGTGATGGTCTGCATGAAAATGGCCTCCATAGGTTCATAGAAGTGACATTATTTGAAAGGATTAGGACATGTGGCCTTGTTGGAGTAGGTGTGGCCTTGTTGGAGGAAGTGTCTCACTGGGGGTGGGCTTTAAAGTTTCAGAAGCTCAAGCCAGGACCAGTGGCTCACACTCTCTTCCTGCTGCCTGCTGATCCAGATGTAGAACTCTCAGCCACATCTACAACACCATGTCTGCCTGCATGCCACCACGCTTCCCACAATGATAATAATGGACTGAATCTCTGAATGAGTAAGTCAGCCCCAATTAAATGTTTTCCTTTATAAGAGTTGCCGGGGTGTCTCTTCACAGTGATTGCACACTGACTAAGGCAGCCCTCTAGATGTAAATATATTTTGATATGTTAAAACAGTACAACATCTCTGTTCCACACAGACTGTTCTCTTAGAGACTTATGATAATGTACTGTGGGACACTTGCACAAAACAGAAGGGACACTTGTTTCCTCCAAGTTCATACTTAATGAAAGGTAAATCAGCAATGAGAGAAAATTCATTTCTTATTATGTAGTTTCTACATAGAAATACTCAGTTAAAGAAAAAAAATGCTTTCTTTCTTATTAAAAGAACAAAAAAACTTATATAATTAATATTTCAAATAACTTTGGAGTCACATATTATATACACTTGACATGTATGGCTATAGTAAAATTTTGCTACTACTGTTACAGGAATGGATTATTTATATTTTTTCTCTGTGAAAAAAATTTAAGTACATGACTTAATTAATTGAGATCATACTCACGGTTTAAAACTGCAATGGCCGAAGTAGGTCTTGAGGCAACTAATTTGCTTTGCATTGGGCTCTGGCAATAAATGGTCTTAAAAGCAAATAAGATAATAAAATTGACATTTATGTTCAAAAACAAATATATCACGTAAGAGGAGGAAAATGTTCATTTCACTGGCTTCTTGTAAAGAATACAATGACATGTAACATGTTAATTTCTTTCCATTCTAATCAAACTTGACCCTCTAGGTACCTGTCACAACACCAGACAAATCCTTTGATTACTACTAAAGTATTAGAATTGTACTTGGACTTCACACTTCACCAACACTAGAAAAAAAAAAAAAAGACCCAGCATTTTCTAATTAGGTACACTTACAAGATCTAACATCTAGAATGAACCAAACCAAAGCAACCAATATGCCAATGAAACTTTATATTAGAAAAAATTTTCAATTTATGTTAATAAAAATTATATTAGCATTCCAAATTAATTATACAGAGAAAGCAAAATTTTAGTTGTCTAAAACTAAATCTAGTTCCATAAATTCAGTTACCTTGATCTAATTTAGTTATCTATCCAGTTTAGTTAGGGAAATGTAGATAATTAAATCTTTAGCCAGACATCTTAACTGCACTGCACCGGGGCTATGTTAGCTCTGCCAAGGAGCCCACCACTGTCCATCCTTAGAGGCAGACTCACAAACAGCAAAGGAAGGGTCAAATGCACATTCTAGGCAAGCTATCATTAACCATATGAAAAGTATTATCTCACACCTTTAACAACTCTTAACAGAAAGATCAAACAAATGGCTGCATTTAATAAAAGAAGAGGAAAATGTTTTATCCGTATATTTGTAAATACCTTCCACCTACAATATGTTTTGAAATTTCCACATTTTCACACAATAATATAGTCTGAGTACAGTGAGAGTTCTACTTTTTGAGAAGACTCTACAAGTTGACAAACTGATTATCTACACTTAAATCATAATTGCACCATTTGCACACTCATTGACTACATTCTTTGCTGTAAGAAAGTTCCCTGGTGTGGTGCCTACTTCAACAACAAGCTCCTGGGAAACAGACTGCTTAGAACCAGACCATTTATTCAATATAAGCAGTTAGTAATGTTGTTGGATTTTCTCTTTCTCTTTTAGGCGGCCCGCCACCCAGCTCCCAAATCAATCACACACAGAGGCTTATTCTTAATCATGAATGCCTGGCCTTAGCTTGGCTTCTTTCTTGCCAGCTTTCTTTAACTTTAAATTATCTCATCTACTTTTTGCCTCTGGGCTTTTCCCGTTCCCTTACTTCTGTAAATCTTACTCTTACTCTGTGGTTTGCTGTGTAGCTGGTAGCTGGCCCCTGGAGTCCTCCTCCTTCTCTGGCTACTTCCTTCTGTCACTCCTTGATCTCTCCTTTCCTCTCAGATTTCTCCTATTTATTTTCTCTCTGCCTGCCAGCCCCACCTATCCTTTCTCCTGCCTCGCTATTGGCCGTTCAGCTCTTTATTAGACCATCAGGTGTTTTAGACAGGCACAGTAACACAGCTTCACAGAGTTAAACAAATGCAACATAAACAAACAAAAGTAACACCTTAATATAATATTCCACAACAAGAAAACTATTTCACCACTGTCACTAGGACCCAAACAAATCTATAACTCAAGGATGAAAGGCTTCATTCACCAATTTCCTGAGAGACAAGAACACCAAGGAATTAAATGGCTGGTATATAGACCTAAGAAGTAACTATATGCCACCAAGTCATTCAACTCCAAATCAGTGAAAAGTCAGTGAAAGGTGAGCAGCTCCCAACCTATTTCTTACCCTCATCTTCTTGTTCCTCTTTAATGGCTTCATTCCCATCTCCGTCGTCCTCCTCCGGAGGATGGCTTTCCATTTCTAACCATTTAGAATGAGTTGGTTCCACCATGTCACTATTTAGGTTTTCTAAAGACTGAAAGTTTAAACGAAATTTTAAAAGCAAAACACTGACAATGTCGTATCTTTTTACTAAGCACAAAAAGAGTGTTATTAACAAAGCCTACAATTTCGTGGGAAACTGGCAGATGTGCAAGCAACAGCACAAAAGAACATGTGTGCTCCTCTATAAATATGTGCTGGGGAATGGCTGCAAGGCGTAAGGCCAGGCTGGAACACGGCCAGCACAAACAAGGTTCAGCAATGGCATATAATGAACTGCCCCTGGGAGATCGATCAAACATTTTAAATCTGCGTAATTTAGGCAGTTTTCCTTCTTGGACTTCAATGTTTTAGATTCCCAAGTAGTAAAATACAGATTTTAATGCTACTTCCATAATAAATTTCTCGACATTACATGTGAGTCACATTTTTCTTGAGTAAAGATGATTATTAAATTACAAGCGAGTAATAAATGTGTTTGTCAAAAAAAGATTCAAATAATTTTAGGAGAGAAATACTACTTACATAAAATAAAATTGTTTTTGACATTATACATTTTCTCCCCTATTTCAAAAATATTAGTACTATTGAAATTACTTTATCTATAAAACTTTTTACTAAGGAGTGACATGGAATATTCATTTAATCAAAGTTCTTATCTTCACTTTTTATGAGGCCTTTTTTTTTTAGTGTGGCTTTAAGAATGACTTTGAAAGCATAATATTTCAATCCTGTAAAAGGAAAATGAAAAAAACACGGGTGATTCTGTTTCTTTAACTCTACCAATATATTCAGAGAACAGAGATTATTCAAGGTATAAAATATGTTACAGATGTCCACAAGTATCGTATACATGCACCACTTGAACAGAATGCACCAGAGAAAGGGAACCAGCAAATATGATTTAGCTTAATATGAGCTAAATGTCTTAACGATGAGCCAGGCTCTGTGGTAAACTCTGATGTAAGCACTGGACATCAATGGAAAAGTGAGGATTCAAATCTACAAGTTAATTAGGAATCCACACCCTATTATTTCTGTGATTGCCACTACTAGGATTCAAAACTAAACAACTAGAACATTACTACACTGAACTAAAGTTGGTAGGAAAGTAGATACAAAAGCACACTTCTATTTCTCTTCTTTTTTCGCTTGATTTAACTAAACTTTGCCTTTCCCTTTTCTCACAGTCTGGTTCTTCCTGTCCATATATAATTCATGATACTTGATAAACTGGAGATTAAGTGAAGGGATAGAAAATACACAAATTTATACTTCAGTTTTGATAAGACAACAGAGTAAACAGTCATTATAAAATTACATGTACTCAGTATGAAAATCCCACAGTCAGAGAAACCAGGAACTGTAAATGATTCAATTAGCAAAAACAGAACATCTAAAATGTGGCAAACACAGGAAGAACAAGAAATCAATTTCATGCTAAAGTGCTTAGTCACTGGCCAGATTCCAGAGAGAGACGGAGAAGGACCACAGAACACACATGAGAACTCATGATGTCATACCTAAGTCACTACTTATTTATTAGGAAATGGAAACTGAAAAAAATTGTCCAATATTAAATTATGGGCATTAATTTCCTTGTGATAGCATCTGATTTAGAAATGAAAACATTTTAGTTATTTAAATGTTCTTTAAAAAAATCTGACATCATTTTTTCAAACATACCTTAAGCATCTCCATTTCTAAATCTTCATCACTTTCAATTATATAAGAGGAATCCTTTTCATCATCAGTGGGAGATAAATGCTTTTAAAAGGAAGTATTTTGAAGATTAACTTTCTGTGTCATTGATTCTACACCCTCTGTTGTATTCACTAGACATACTTAGACATCTTCCTCTCCTTTAATAGGCCAATGTATAAAGCATAATTATATGTTTACAGGATGAGTAGACAGAGGAAAGGGAAAGGAAGAAGAATGATTTTTTAAATATAATCAAAGAGAAAGAAACTGCATAGTTAAAAAGATAGGCAAGTTAGATAAACAGATTGGAAATAAAATCTACACTCAAAATAACAACAAAAGTACACGTCCTAAGGTCAATTAATGTCAAACTGAGCCTCTCCAACTTTTGGATACGTGAAACTACACCATGTTGAAAAAATTTGTACAGACAAAGAAAGGTAATTGTTCTTTTATATATACTGACTTAAAAATACCAAAGACCAATATAAAATAATTATATTTTCTTTAAATAAATCAGTATTAGTATATTTGAAAAAGTATCAGATACATTATTTACTTGTCTGTTGCTAATGTTTGGAAATGAATCTTTACAATGATTTGGCAACCCCAAAAAATCAGGTGTCTAACAAAATGTGAATCTTTTCTCTCTCTCTCTCTCTCTCTCACACACACACACACACACACACACACACACACACACACACACTCACACACACACACACAAAATTGAGTAGGAATAATTCCCCAAATGCTGAATATTTAATTTGGAAATGGGAAAAGGAAAATAGCTTTAATTAACATGCTAATTTAAAGCTATCAAAAGATTTTAAAATACATTTTTTAACTGAGAAAGGTTTTATTGCTTCCTAAATAGGGTCTTAAACAAATTTTAAAAAATGCTAGTAATCTATATAATAAAATGGCAATAAAATTAGTATAAAAAATTTCTCAAATAAAAATCATGATCACAATTTCCTATTATATAAACTAAAGTGCATATCTAATGAGAAATTTCTACAGAATTAGAATAATGCACATGTCAGCAAAAGACAGTATTTTCTAAAGAGAAAGTCTGGTTCACAAGTGGTTGGTATGAGATTATTTTGAAAACTTTCAAACAACATACATTTACATGCTCAATAGAAATAATTAGCAAAATGTTATAAAACCCAAGGAATATACCTAAGATTGGGTTTCCATTTCTATAATGAAATTAGGAGAAATAATTCTATACAATCTCTTCAAAATCTAAAATAAAATTTGTTATTGCAAAACAAAACTGCAAAAACTCCAGAGATTCTGAGTGTCTCCTGTAATTTGTAAGCTAATGAAAATGAGGAAGGAAACAAGAGCTCATTGGCTCACCAGGGGACAGTACAGACGCCTGAAAAACAAAGCACCCTTTCACTCTAGCAAGTAATTTCTATGTGTAGAAATAAACCTATCCCCAAATCAAGTTTGGATGAGTAAACATTTAGGAAGTATCCACCAAAAAGCTATTACCTATTATGTAAAAAGAAAAAGAAAGAAAGGAAGAAAGGAAGGGAGGGAGGGAGGGAGGGAGGAAGGAAGGAAGGAAGGAAGGAAAGAAGGAAGGAAAGAATAAATTGTAAGGCAGCAATTTCAACAAATGTTCTCTTGACAATATAAAATCTTTCAACTATGCAACCCTATTTATTGTACTAAGTCTCACAAGTTAAGGTGGCCCTCTGTTTGTATTTGTAAAGTTTTACTGAAGCACACAAGGCATAACTCTTCGCATGTGTCTGTGGCTACTTTACCGTCCAACAGCAGAACTGAACAGTTGCAACAGGCACTACACATCCTACAAAGCCTAAAATATTTGCTCTGTGCATATTTATACAACAAAGTGAGCCAACCACTAATGGATATATTATTTCCTCTCGATTTAGTACCTCAGAAGCTTGGTGAGAAACATCATTACATTCTTTTTCTTCAGTCTGCTCTTTCAAAATTTGGAGTTCATATTCTGAAATATCGAACATCAAACAAGTTCTTTCCATCTCTTCTCTCAACAGATTGTCTTCTACTTCATCTTCAAATCCACCTTCTTCTTCCTTCACTTTATTTCTAAAGACATCAACTTCATTGTGTTCCACTAAATTGTCAAATTCTGGGTCCCATTCCTCTTCTTTAATTTTAGGAAAATCGCCATGTTCTCTAATTTGTTTCTCTTGGTCTCCAACAGCAGCTGAATCCTCCGGCGACATTAAATTAAAACTAGTCCCCTGCTCCAGTTTAATCTCAGTGTTTGTAGAACCAAATATCACCTTTCTCAATGAACATAGATTTTCTGAAATATTCTTCAATATTATAGGAACCCTAAAAAATTCAAGAAACATTATTCAAGTTTAATTTTATCAATCATAAAGACAAGTTTTAAAGGTTCTTACTAAACAAGTTATGAAGAAGACCCATTGTTCTAAAATTTCATTTCCACACAGTCACACGTGATTATGAGTGGTAGTCTATACTTGCCTGTGTAATTAAGTACTTCTGATGCTAGCAGTATTGTTGCATATTCAATAACAGTCAGTAGTGTTTGGTCCCAAATTCATTTATGCCAGCTTTTCCTTTTTCTCTTTGATAATTAATTTAATGAAATATAAAGTTCATCAATAAGATACACGCACAACAACAAAAAGTAAAACCTATTCCATTCAATTCTGGACTAAACACACAAGAAGAGCTAACATATTTCTGTTTAAAAAAAATTGTTGGATGGTGGACCTAGAGTCCTCTAGTTCCTCCCCCAACCCCTTTCAACCTTTGCTTCTAGTCCATCTCCATTTATTGTGGCAACCATCAACCCTCAGAACCACACTACCAGGGACTGCCAGTGGCCACACTAAGCTATAAGCAACCTTTATTATCCTTCCTGTCCTCCATTAGATCTCTCCAAACTTACTCTTAGTCCCAGTGCAGGCCCCTAGGAGCCCATACTCTCAGCCCACCTTCATCCCTTGAGGACTCTGCCTCTTGGTGTGGACCTAGGGCCCCCGAGTTCTTTTTCTACCCACTTGACGTTCAGCCTGTCATTCTTTTGTGACACCTGATGACTCCCAGAAACACTCTCTATTGGGGACCCCACAGCAACCATACTTGGCTAGGACCTAGAGTGGGCAACAGCAATGTAAAAACAGAATACCCACCCAACAAAGACAGATATCTACACCAAAAAACATCTCAAACATCATAACCCCAGATTCCAGTTCCCAAGACAATAAATAAATAAATAAATAAATAAATAAATAAATAAATAAATAAATAAATAAATAAAATAAACAGTCAAGACAACATGCCTCCTCCAGAAGCCAGCAACTCTAATGCAACAGGAACCAAGAAAGGCAATTTAGCTAAAGCACAAACAAGAACTTCAGAATAGCAATTATGAATGGTTCAAGGACATTAAAGAGGATATAAACAAATGCCTTAATGAAAACAATAAAAATACAAACACTTCATGAAAAAAAACTTAAGACATGAAAGTGGAATTGAACAAATAAATAGAATCACCAAAAAACAACCAAAATGAAAATGAAAACCCTCAGCAGGAAGCCTCACCAACACATCAAAAGACATGGAAGAAAGAATTTCAGGTCTCAAAAACAAGGGAGAAGAAATGTACAGTTCAGTCAAAAAAAAAGCTAAATCTAAAAAGATCCAGGCACAAAACAACCAGAATCCTGAAATACTATGAAAAGACTCACACCTACAAAAAATAGAGGTGGAAGAAGAAGAAGAAATCCACATAAAGGCACAAAGAGTATTTTTAACAAAACCGAACAAGAAATTTCCCCCAATCTCAAGAAAGAAATGCTTATCAAAGTACAAGAAGCATACAGAAAACTAAAAAGACAGGACTGGAAAAGAAATTCCCCACAAAACATAATCAAAACACTAAACATACAGAAGAAAGGATATTAAAGGCTGTAAGGGGAAAAGACCAAATAACATATAAAAGCAGAGCCATTAAAAGTACCAACCTCGCCGGGCGGTGGTGGCGCACGCCTTTAATCCCAGCACTCGGGAGGCAGAGGCAGGCGGATCTCTGTGAGTTCGAGGCCAGCCTGGTCTCCAAAGCGAGCTCCAGGAAAGGCACAAAGCTACCCAGAGAAACCCTGCCTTGAAAAACCAAAAAGTACCCACCTGACTTTTCAATGGAGACTTTGAAAGCCAGAAAGGGCCTGGATAGATGTTCTACAAGATCTGAAAGACTACAAATGCCAGCCCAGATTACTATACCCAGCAAAACTATCAATCACAATAAGTGGAGAGAAAAAAAATCCATGATAAAACCATTATCAGGTACATGTATCTACCAATCCAACACTGCAGAAAGCACTAGAAGGAAAACTTCAGTCTGAAGAGGTTAACCACACCCAAGAAAATGCAAGGAAGAATCCCAGACCAGTAAATCAGAAGGGGGGGGGACTCACAATGTAACCACAAAGTAACAAAATTCAAAAAGTAAAAATTAACAAGTCTGTGTGGTGATATTTTGTTTGTGATCTAACCAATAAAGCTTGCCTGAAGATCAGAGTGTGGAGCCATAGAGACCAGGCAGTGGTGGTGCACACCTTTAATCCCAGAACTTGGGAGGCAGAGGCAGACAGATCTCTGTGAGTTCAAGGCCACCCTGGGCTACATGAGATTGAGCCAGTCTAAAAGAGAAACAAAGCCCAGCAGTGGTGACTCAAGCCTTTGATTCCAGTTCTTTGTATTTCACCCCTTTAATCCCAGCACCAGGGAGGCAGAAACAGAAAATGATGTGGCTGTGTGGAGAAAGGAATATAAGGTGGGAAGAGACAGGAGCTCTGTCCCCTTTTGGCTGAGGATTTTGTAGAGGTAAGAACTAGTGGCTGCTCTGCTTCTCTGATCTTTCAGCTTTCACCCTGATATCTGACTCTGGGTATTTATTAATAAAACCAATTAAACTTCAAGCTACATCACTGTTCATTGATTAATAACTCAATATTAATGGTCTAAATTCTACAATAAAAGGATACAGAAACACTGTCTTCCAGACACAAGACTGACCCACACATGAACTCTCTGAAACTGTATGGTAGCATTCATAAGAATGGTAAATGTTCAATACAGACAAAATCCCGGCACACCTAACAAAAAAGCTCTTTGCAACTGATACTGATGGGAAGGGAAAAATCAGGTTTTTTCCAATAAATTGTCACTGAGCATATCAACCATACTGCAGGGCAGGCTCCAAGCCCAGGAGCAGTAAACCAACACAAAATGAACTCCATGCTTTTTCTGTAGGCTTTTTGTTTTGTTTTGTTTGGGTATTTTTTTCTTATTGTTTTTTTGTCTGTTTTTATTTTTATTTGTTTGTCTGTTGAGATAGAGGGGTGGGTAGGGAGGTGGGGAGGACCTAGGAGGAGTTGGGGAAGGGGGAAACATGATACAAATATATTAAAAAAAATGTTTAAAAAATGTTAAAGTATTTGACTATAGTCAAAATAACTTAAAAGCTCATAAGAAAAAACAAAAATTCTTAGGACTCTGTATTCAGATGACTTCAAGTATATTGAATTATCACTCCATTTTAAAGAAACTAAAATTAGAAATTGGAAGTAACACATTCTGAGTGTAGTCTAAATAAGAAACACTGTGCAGAACTGCAAACAGCAGGCCACATTTAATGAAAACTCCATGATGCTTGTCTGGAGTGCCCAAGGCCTCAAGCTCAATCCTCAGAACTATGGAAAGAAAAATTGTATAATAAATTAAGAAATTAGAGAGTCAATGGAGTTAGATAAGCAAAGAGATATATTTTCTTATATAATAAGGGTTTTTGGGATATGTATTCCAATTTTTCAGTCTTAAATCAATGATTTACATAATCTAAAATGTTTATGTAGCTTAAGGAAATTTTTATGTTAATGGTTCAAATGAAACTTTGCTCTTCCATGAAAATAAACTATCAATGTGTGAGTTGTTCCAGGAGTTGTTTCCACATTGAAAACTGCATTATTACAAGACATAGAAAAATCAAGCTAGAACTGACTGGATGCTTTTATCCTGCAGCTAGCATTCATACTTGGAAAAGGTATCATGCAGGCTGCTGGAGGGTGGGGGATGTCATCAAGGGTGTTACCCGACTGTGTACCATGCATGTTACAGTACCAACCTTCCAAGAAAGATGTACCTACTGGTGAGACAGTGACATGACTGGTCGTGGGTGGCCAGCAGCATTCTGATAGGATTTGAATGTAGCTGGAGTTTTCTCTCTGGGTCCTGCCAAGCCCCGGCAGTCCCTCAGCCCACTTATAAAATAAACATACAGACGCTTATATTATTTAAACTGCTTGGCCATTAGCTCAGGCCTATCATTGTCTAGCTCTTACTCTTTATATTCAGCCCATTTCTATTAATCTATACTTTGCCACATGGCTCGTGGCTTACTGGTACCTTACATCTTCCTTGTCCTGGCGGCAGCTGCAGGCAGTCTCCTCCTTCCCTTCCTGTTCCCTCAATTCTCCTCTCTATTAGTCCTGCCTATACTTCCTGTCTGGCTACTGGCCAATCAGTGTTTTATTTATTAACACATTTGCCATACAGAACATCCCATAGCATTTGAAGCCTGGACCTTCAGGAGGGAATATATGACTGGTGGTGTAAATATGGTCAAAACCTTTGGCTGGGGAAGTCATGGGCCCTAGCAGAGGAACCTACTGCTGATATACTGCTAAATGGACACAGTCATATTGTCTTCTAAATATTTATATTTTTACCCATAGTGCTGCTCTCAGTCTTGGTCAGAGAAACTTCTATTTGCAGTGGGCAATGGCTAATGATGACACATAATAGTCAAAGTGCTGAGCATAAATGATTGTTGTATGCTCAGCCTGAAATGGGACCTCTATATCACTCCTTCCTAAGCCCCAATGGATGTCACAGACAGGATGGAAAGACTGTTAAGAGTAGGGAGATATAGAAGAAGAATGCTATGAAACATTGCCTTCCAGATACAACATGGCTATTGAAATCATAAACACACAGCAGCTGTGGTTACCTGCATTCGACCTGCAAAAGACAGGGCCTTTCAACATTCCCCCATGAACAAGGAAAGCTCACTAGAGACCCCATCCTTTCCTGAGGAGCTTTGCAGTTAGTGGTTGCCTAGAAAGGCGCAGTCATTCTCTTCAGCAGTATAGTCACTGGGAAGTTGCCAATGTCCAGTCAACAGCCTCATAACCATGCTCACACAATACTCCCAATGGTTCAGGCAATAGTGGCGCACACCTTTAATCCCAGCACTCGGAATGCAGAGGCAGATGGATCTCTAAGTTTGTGGCGAGCCTAGTCTACAGAGTGAGTTCCAGGATAGCTAGAGTTACACAGAGAAACCCTGTCTCAAAAAAACAAACAAACAAACAAACAAACAAAAACAAATACTCTTAATTAAATTCAGCGAGTCACACACACACACACACACACACACACACACACAAGACATGGAAGAAGAAAAGGAACTACTTAAGAAGTGAGTAAGCATGAATAAGGGGAAAAAGGAGAGTGTAATGGAGATGAATATGATCATAATAAATTGTATGGGACTGTCAAAAATCAAAACAAAACTGCACAATTAACAACCCTCTAAAGTTTGGCTCAACCTTAAATTGTCAAAGTGTGTAGTAACACCAACAAAATCAAGATCAAAATTAAATTCAGGACTGGAAAGACAGCTCAGCAGTTAAGAGCACTGGGTGCTCTTCCAGAGGACCCAGGTTTGGGTCCCAGCACACACATGGTAGCTCACAGCCAACTGTATCTCCAGTTCCAAGGGCTCCAACCCTCCTCTGCCCGCCTCAGGAACATGGCTTACAAGATGTGCATGGACACACATGCAAGCAAAACACCCATATACATAAAATAATATTTAAAAACCTAAAAGTTTTTTAATTAAATTCAAAATCTAATAATAGACTTACTATAAAATAATAAAATGTCATAAACCTTTTGTTAGGCTGGTCTTGAACTTCTGATTCCCCTGCCTCAGTCTCCTGAGTACAGAGATTATAGGAATGTACCACCATGCCTGGCAATATTATAAATCTTACTATATACACAGCTGCTCATATGTAAAAACTGTGTATGAGTAATGTGGTAGGAACAATTATGATTCGATGTAATTGAGAAATAAATGTGTTGCTATAGCAACAGTGACACAGTTCAACTAACAGTACTATAATGTCTTATTTATCCTGTACTAACATCAGAGTAGGACATAAGGACTTACTCTAATCCTAAAGACTGGCCTGTAAAGACACACAAGGTATAATGCACTTTGCCTTCCTTAAGATTCTTAGCGTGCTCACCAGTTAGCAGCAGACAAACTCAACACCCAGCATAAAGTCAAATACACTGCAGCAATACCACAAAAGCACACTGAATTTAAAATCAAAGACTAAACAATACTAAATAACACCGATCCTATCAGGGACCTCAGAAACGCGACAACTTTCTGCAATAAACCTCAAACTACTCTACTGTGAGTTCTTGATGCTAAAAAAGCCTACTTAGCTTGCTGTTATGAAGCAAAGCCTTAGGTAAACATAATTTATACCAAGCATGTATTCTGTAAAAATTCATGTTTAAGAAAATCACATAAAAGGGGATTGGAATTGGTACCAGAAGTAGGGTATTGCTGTGTGTATCAGGAATCTTAAAAAGTTCTTATTAATAAAATGAAACCTGAGGCCAGTTATTGGGGTGAATGCGGGAAGATCAGAGAAGCAGAACAAGCCACTGCTTCCTCACCTTGCCAGTTCCTCAGCTGATCCTGTTTCCCCAGACTGGAAGCCTCTCAGTCCTCATCCAGAATGAATCTTAGCTGAACTGCTACTCGAAAGCCTGAAAGCTTAACCAACCTAGTTCCTGGTCCTCACGCCTTATATACCCTTCTGCTTTCTGCCATCACTCCATGGGATTAAAGGCTCACTTTCTGGGATTAAAGGTGTGAGTCACCATGCCTGGCTGTTTCCAATGTGGCCTTGAACTCACAGAGATCCAGAGGGATTTCTGCCTCTGGAATGCTAGGATTAAAGGTGTGAGTGCCACCATTTTCTAGCCTCTGTATCTAGTGGCTGTTCTGTTCTTTGACCCCAGATTAGTTTATTAGGGTGCACAATATTTTGGGGAACACAATACCACCACAGCTGTGACAGACCAAACATACTGTTTGGGGGAGGACTGTGGGAAGGACTTTGGAACTTTGGGCTAGAAAAGCCAATGAGTGTTTGAAGCTTGGCAAGCTTTTCTGTGGGAGCGTGGAAGATAGTATGTTGAGAGCAATGCAAACAATAGAGGCCTGGCCTGTGAAGTTCCAGAGGGAAGTCTGAGAGACCTTTCAAGACTACCAGGCCAGGCAGTGGTGGCACATGCCTTTAATCCCAGCTCTTGGGAGGAAGAGGCAGGTGGGTCTCTGTAAGGCTAGCCTGGTCTACAGAGTGAGTTTCATGACAGAGTCCAAAGCTACAAAGAGAAACCCTATCTCGAAAAACGAAAAATAAAAAAAAAATTAAAAAAAGCTTCTATCAGTTTTTTGGTATTTTGAATTGAGAATCTGTGTCTGGTTAGCTGGAGCTGAAAAAGAGACAAGAACCTCTGAAGTAAAACTTCTGCATCACTGGGACAATGGATGCTGGTCAGCTGGAGCTGAGAAATCAGCAGTGATGAAGAAGAGACCAGCATGAGGTAAAATCTTCTGGGAAATGTTGCCTCAAAGTCAGCACACAGAAGTGGTGTTCCAGGGGTGGCCAAGGTTGTACCTCACAATGGCAGGTGAACTTGGGAAGTGGAAGAGTCACCCAGATAGTTCTGAGGCCTGAAGGGGTCAAGGAGAGCAGCTAAGGCTTGACAGTGTAAGAGTCTAGGAAAGGTCATTGGTGAAGGTGCAGCTCCAGCCGCAGCTGAAGGTCCAGAGGCTGGGCACAATGAAGAGAACCCAGGAGAGGCCACTGATGAAAGTGCGGCCCAGTTGCAGCAGAAGACCTCAGCATTTTGGAGATGCCAGTCCTGTGGGAGGACCACCAAGAACAGCAGCAGCAGTGGAGTAGAACCAGCTGGAGCCTAGAAGACAAGCTGTGTGTGCTGCAGAGGGCGGAGCCAGAGAAGTGAGCCAAACCCTTTGGAGGAGCCCAGAAGATCAGCAGTGGATCCCAGACATTGGATATTGCAGTATTTACACTGAAATTTGGGAGTTTTTAAGTGAGGCTTTAGATTTTTAAAAAAGAGTAGATATTTTTAAAGAGACAACTTCTAAAGTATTTGAATTTATAAGACTGTGGGACTTTTAAATTTGTAAAATGCTTTATATTGTGATTCCTTTATTAATATGTAGTATTGGGGATGAACAAAAAAAGAAAGGTTGTGGTTTAACAGTGATGTGTTTGTGTGTCAAGTTGACAAGTGGTCAGTTATGCTGGCTAGTTTTATGTTAATTTGACACAAGCTATAGTCATCTGAGCGGAGGGAACTTTGATTGAGAAAATGCCTTCATAAGACTGGGCTGTAGGCAAGCCTATGGAGCATTTTCTTAATTAATGACTTATGGGGGAGGGCCTAGCCCATTGTGGGTGGTGCCATCCTTGGACTGGTGGTCCTTGTTTCCATAAGAAAGCTCTAGATCAACATATCACAAATCTCATCCCCCACCCAAAAAAAGAACATATTAACATTGTATTTTCCCAAAGCCAAAATACTTTCCATCCCAAATAACTGCTCCACATTTCTACAGAGTATGTTTTGCCTCCCAAATTACATTACTGCATTGGAATTGTTCAGAACATTCCTGCTTTTAAAAGAATAAATTTAACAAGGAAGTCACTTGAACTAAAGCAAGGCCTGCTTCCAAAGAGCTTTAGCTACTCCAAGTGTGAAGTCCAAGGTCTACTATTTGTAAAGGGGATTTGCTCCACATATTTCAAGTGACCCAAATCATTGGCCATAAAGTCTAAAATCAGGATACTTTTTCTAATATTCCACTAGCTAGTTTACTTGTTTCTCAGCCTTTAGACTAAGATCAAGTGTAGCTAATATTCTTAACCAAAAATAAAAAAGAAAGAACTAGGAAAAAAAGAAAAAAAAAGTTAACTAGCATAAAAGTTGCTTTCATTTACAAATTTCAAGTGATCAAACTACAGATATAACAATACTAACAATTTTGCATACTAACTCTTATTTTCCTTAATGGACACTTACTTTGCTTTAATCAAAACTACAATATGTCTTTGTTTCCTGAAACATCCTCTAAAGCAGACAGAAAAGCTTTAGATCTTTAAGACATGCTGTTGGTAATGGGAAAGCCAGCTCTAAAGTCTGTATCAGTTTGTGTGCATGCATTCAAACAGGTTTGTAGGAATCCATCAAAATAAAGAGTTAAGTCTTCAAATAATATGTTTGGAGTCTGGAGACGTGGCTCAGTGATTAAGAACGGGTTCTGCTCTTGCAGAGGATCTGAGTTTGGTACCCACTACACACACAAGCTGTGCAGGTGGCTCCCACCTATCTGGAACTCCAGATCCAGGGACAATCTGAAACCTCTGACCTCCGTGGGCACTTGCACCCATATGCACACACACACACACACACACACACACACACACACACACAATTAAAAATAAAATAAATATTTTAAAAAGCACAGTATTTAACCTCTGTAGAGTCTCCAAGTTTCTGCAAGTGGCAGGGAAATGCTTGGCTAGGTCTTTCATTTCTTCTGAGATTGAGTTCAACTGTTTCTTCATCTCACTAGGTAGGCTTTCCTCTGCTAGAAAAAAAAATACTATTAATATTCAAATTAAAAAGCTGAGATTTTATTTAATCACATCATAATATGTATTAGTACCCAGATTTTCATGTGTTCCCTACAATGAATTCCAACAAAACACTTTCTTTCTTTTTTTTTTTTTTTTTTTGGAGACAGGGTTTCTCTTATGTAGCTTTGGAGCCTTTCCTGGAACTCACTCTGTAGCTCAGACTGGCCTCGAACTCACAGAGATCTGCCTGCCTCTGCCTCCCAAGTGCTGGGATTAAAGGCATGCACCACCACTGCCCGGCAAACACTTCCTTCTTGAATCCTAAATCACTTTCTTCACTTCCATTTTCAAACTTCTTTTTCAAAATTTCCTATTTGAAATTTAGAGTAAATTCCAAACTCAAAGTTTACTGACCTAGACAGAAGGAGAAAAGAAGTGAGATTCTAAACTCACTTAACACAGTTTCTAATTCCGAAATCAATATAACACCATGTGAATTGGGATTTAGCACTGTTAAAAAACCTTGCCCAAGAGTCACTCTTCATAGCCTTAATTAGTCATCAGCAAAATACAATTTGAGCCTTTCTAATCTGTGGCCACCTTCCAAACTCTCAATGTCATTCCATTTGATGTGACATTCTGTGTCAAGGGTAAGAAGCCTGTCTTATGTTTGTTTGTTTGTTTGTTTGTTTGTTTGTTTGCTTGCTTGCTTGGTTGGTTGGTTGGTTGGTTGGTTGGTTGGTTGGTTGGTTGGTTTCTTTTTGAGACAGGGTTTCTCTGTGTGGCCCTGACTGTCTTGGGACTCGCTCTGTAGACCAGGCTGGCCTCGGAGCCCTACCTCTACCTCCTCAGTGCTGAAACTAAAGACTTGCACCACCACAGCTTGGGATGTAGATATGGCTTAGCTGTAAGAGCACTGGCTGCTCTCCTTTCTGAAGCCATCTCCTTGGCTAGAATTTCTTTACCATTTTATCTATCCCTCAAACAGCCCAGGCTCTCCTGAAGCACATGACATAAGATCACAAACCTTGCTATTCCAGAATGCCAGTCATCTTGTGACATCACATCCTTTTATTCATGACGACTAAGTTTATTTATTTGTTAACTGTCTCTCCCTCCACTACTATTTCTGTGATCATCCCTAGTGATTTTTATACCCACAGAGATGCTCCATCCAATTTTGGACCTTGTATCCTCGATTCTTCCATTTCCAACAATCTTTTCCTCATCTAATCTGAGCCACTCATTCCCATAATCAGACCCCTGACCTCAAAACTACCCAATAAAACCACCGCGGCTCTACAATCTTTCAGTTATGACCATTTTACACTCCAAATACAAACATCCTCTTTCCAGAATGCTTTCCCCGACTCAGTATGTTAATTAACACTTCAGAATGAAGCCTACTGGCTCTGCCTTTTCCCCACCCATACACCATCTACTCTCTCCACCATGTTTTCCTTTCCTTTCTTAGCCACACTAGTGTCCATTCCTTGGACTCTCAACTTCTTTCTTCTTTACCCACCTCCATGGAACTTAACGTGGCACAATTCCTACTCAGCTTCTTTAGCTAACTAACGCCCAAGTTAAATAAAATAACTTGAAAATAAAACAAAGTGATAATGGCCAATTTCACTGTAAACTCATGACACAGACCCCACGTTTCTACTCTTAAGATTACAATTTTGTACCCTTTCTTTCTCTTTTAAGCTTCCAATACCTGCTGCTCATCCTCAAATTCTCTGCCCCTAATTCCAGCTCAGCATTCCCCTCTCAGCAGCATAGCGTCCATTGGGAAGGCTATGACGTTCTCAACATGAATTGTTGATTTGAATCCCCACCTCCTTCAAGTCCTCAGAAGTTTCAAGTGGCTGACAGCTCCTTCCTGTTTAAAGCACTTCCTTTGTCTCCTTCACTGATGTCCCTTCTCAATTCTCTTTGCTGCCCGTTCGTTTTCTAGACACCAGTGTGACCTTCAAGCTGATGCCTCTTCTGTTCTTGATTGCACTCACTCCGGATTTGACCTCTTCCGGTTTCCCCACTTGCAGGACATTCTACATCTCTAAGGCCAACTTCCGCTGTGAAATCTGGACTTACTTTTCCAGTCAGGCTCTTGGGTAGCTTCAGTGAGAAATATCTCCACAGGCTCAGGCATTAGAACACTTGATGCCCCTTTGCTGGCTCCACTTGGGAGGGTTAAGAGGTGTAGCCTTCCTGGAGGAAGCATGTCACTGGGGGAGGCTTTGAGAATGAATAGCTTCACCCTACTACCTCTCTCTGCTTTGAGACTGCTGTTCAAGATGTGATCTAATGGTTTCCTGCCCCCACTGCCATGCCTACTGCTTTATGTCACACCTCTGTCCTGCCACATCCCTCTAGAACTGTAAGCCAAAATGAACTCCACTCCTTAAGGCTACCTTTGCTCATGGTGTTTTATCACAGTAACAGAAAGCACTAAGATAGAAATGTTCATGGGTATCAAAACCTCCTAGAGTTTTGCAGTTCCAATGCTGCAATCTGGACTTGTCTCACCAAAACCCACTCTTCATATAATCTTGCACTCTACCTGACTCTGCCAGTCATCAGGTAATTCATCAAAATACCCTAGCCGTCCTAGCAGTCTCTTTTTCTCACCCATTATAAAGAATTGACCTAAAATTTCTGCACAGTCTATGTCTTCAAAATATCTACTGCATCTATACTTCTTATTGACTCTACTAACCTTAATGCAATTATCGTCCACTCCAGGACAATTAAAACACCTTCCTAACTCCCTGTCTAACTTCCTCATCCTCTTACAGCAGTGAGAAAAAAAAAAAAAAACATTTTAAGATAAAATCTGAATCATTTTATCCTGCTGCTCCACACCCCCTAAGCTAAGGGTTTCAAGTTGGCCATCACTGGGTTTTTGTTCTGTTTGTTTGTTTATTTGTTTTCATACAGAACATGAAGTCGGATTCACAACATAGGATGCCCTAACTGACCTGACCCAAGCTTCTTTTCCAGACTGTTGGCTACAAATCTCCCTCATGCTCATTTCTCTTTGGTTGTACTCACTGTCCCTTACCCAAGGAAAGCAGTTACCATCAGTGGCTTTGTATTTCCATCTAAGCACTCACAACTCTTCCTTTAGACAGCCATATAGCATTTTTCCATGCTTGTCAAATGAAATCAATACACAATAAACTCTGATATGTAATAAACACTAGACAAATCTGTGTTATATGAGCAATGACTACTCCCTTTCTGAATTGAGTTTCTAAAAAATATTATTTATATGCTCTTAAAATCATATTCCTTAGATCTAGCTTTCTCCATGTAATATGATTGATACAATTTTAGTATGATTTCTATGAAATCAGAGTAATATGATTGATACAATTTTAGTATGATTTCTACCCACATCATTATACTATTCAATTCTTTTCTTGCTAAGTTTATAATATATTTAGACCACCAAAGCCTCTGGACCCTTTTTGTTCTAAAAGTATACCCTCTGTTTGGAATTCTCTTTTGTCACACAAAACACCAATACTACTAAAGGATTAGAAGTAGAGTAGAGAAGGCTACGAATGATGGCCAACTAATGGTTAATTATACAAATGATGGCCAACTATGGTTAATAAACAGTTGATAACACCCTCCTCTTTCAAATATTCCTCCCTTGGCTTTCTGCACACAGTACGTCCTCATTTCCTTCCACACCTAGGGCAACTCCTGTAGTGTCCCCTCCACCACGCAAGGATTAGACACCAAGAGTTCCCTGGGCCCCTTAGTCCTAGCGTTTTATCACAAATAAACTGTCCTCTGAGGCACAACCTACAGATCTAGGCATTCACAGACCACCACCCTCTTACTATCTGAGATGTCTCCCCCCCTTAACATATCTAAAAACAACTGTCACACTTCACCCCTAAACCTTGCTCTTCTTTTCCCAGGGTTTTAATCTGTCATGCTGCCCAAACCTGGGAGGACCCTTGGCACATGACTGCATTACATCAGATTCTGTTGACTCTACTTCTCTGTAGAGAGCTGCCTGCAGCCGCGCCTCAAAGATGGCGCTGGCTTCTGCCTTCCACCCTCCCGATGGTGAGTGCTCTCTGTGATAAACAACTCCTTATTTGACTAAGGCTAAAGATTTGGCTTGCTTCTGAGCACCTGGACCTATCCGCAGTACCCATGTGGCAGATTGGGGTTGGCTGCCCAGAAGCTATTTAGGTTGTGGGTTGGCTTTCCCTGGGGTCAGAAGTCAGAAGATTGTTTCAAGGTTCCTGAATAAACTGCTGAAAGAAGAGCTCGGTGTTTCGTCTTCCTTGCTGGTCAAGGCGGACGCGACACTTCTCCATTAAATGGATTTTGAAGCTGTTAAACCTTGACACAAATAACCAATTTAAGTTACCATTTCTTCTCTCTCAAATCAAAGGATTTGACCCACAGTGCATTTTCCTTCTTTATGGCTCCTTTTGTTAGTTTGTTCGTTTTATGCCTCAGCTTGTTTTGTTGGTTTGTTTTAAATACAGTGCATTTTCACTCCCGTGTTTAAAACCCTCAAGAGCTTCTGTTTGCTCTTCAGAAGGAACGTAAAGTCTCTAGCATAGCCTGTCTCCTTGCCTTTTTCTGCTTCTCCTACAGGACACTGTCACAGTCAATAGTTTACCACACTGCACAAGCTACAGATACTTCACCTCACACTCTGTACCTGTCTATCCTTTTCCCTTCTGCCTTGGCCAGCAAACGTCTGCTCCTATTTCAGGTATTAGCTCACGCATCGCCTTTTCCAGGAAACATTTTCAAATACCAATGAATATGTAAATCATGTTGTCACTCAGACAGTTTTCAATTTCAAAGCATTTCAGATTACGTATTAGGAATGTTCAATCTTTGTAACCATTCTCTCTGGCCATCTGCAGAGGTGCTTTGTACATTTTTGCCCCTTTAATACTCACAACTAATCCATGACATAGATAGTTTGCTATTATCCACTTGACAAGCATGAGGAAAGAGACAAGATGGCTAAGATTCCACCACTGGCCTATGTAGCAACAAAGCTACTACTTATCGCCCTACCTGCTTGCCTCCTTCTGCAATCATGACCCCATCAAAACATCTCACAAGACAATGAAGCTGAATGAAGAAAACAGCAGCTCAAACTAGAACACTCTAGCACATCTCATACACACTAACGTGCTGTGTATAGAGGAAGTTGGTTGCCTCCCTGATGTTATCAAAGACAGTAAGTATCAAGTCTATGGGACTGAAGAGTAGCAACCCTACAAAAAGAAGGTTTAAGCCCTACTCTCCCACAGGGAAAGTATCTAAAACTCCAATCCTTAATCCTGATGCATTTCACTGTCACTGGCAATACTGTTCAGGCATTTAAGTAGCAGCATAATACTTTGCAAAGACACATTGACTTTTTGAAACAAATCACACAAAACAGGAAACTCACATTTTACCTTTTATTTTAGGCCACAACATACCTTTATTTAGAGCAAACACGTGTACAGTATCACCCAAATTCATTAATTTTTGATAGATGATAAGACCAGCCTATAAAAAAGCAACAGAAAAACAAAGTACAAGTTAAAGATAACCAAAATAAAAATATGTGTCACCTCTCTAGCAAAATCTACAAGAATGATTTCCAAGACTATCCTAGATTCCAGTATGTACAGATTATAAATATGAAAATAAATCTAAGAAGAGCAGCAACTAAATTTGGAAGCAATTTTTCTAAATTTCCACATTTTAAATATAAATATAGGGAATAAGGCTAATTTAAATATAGAAAGCCTGTGATTTTTCTTATTCAGAATTGCTTATATTCAAAATACATCATCAAACCATTTGTGCCTGCTAAGCCTAAGCCTTTCATGATTTCAGTAAGTTCACATTCTTTTACACAGAAATTGGACTTCACTATGGCTTTATGACAGTGAACAGAATGACCACTACACAATCCATTAATTGGTACTTTCTAATGAACATGGAGGATTTCACCTGATGTATTCCTAAACAATTTTGATGCCAAACTAAAATAAAATATTTTAACTAATGACACAATCACAGTACAATTTCTCTAAAGCAATTCAGTACGAGGAATAAAAATGACATCGTAATTAGAGGTCTTTAAATACATACATAAGCATCAGTAGCTGCATACAGTTTCTGGTCATCAGTGAGGGGGAAATTACTCCAATTGCTACAGCGGATGGACTTGTCCTTCAAAAGCTGTTTTCCTAAGACGTGTTTAACCAGACCATTGAGGCTCCAAGTTTCCACACACTTCAGCTGGAAGTCATGAAAAGGTAATAGACCAAACATTCTCCTTTAATGTCAGTTATTCCTAAGAACCACCAAATGACCCGACCACAAATTAAACCAGAAAAGTACCAAAATAAACAAACTTCCCATCACTAAAACCTCATTTATAGTCTACATTATGAATTTAACTCCAAGGTCCCCTAATGTGTAGATTAAAATGTTTAAACATTAATGATATTGTTCCTAGAAAGTAGTTGAAAGGGTTAGAATGCTTTTGACTTCCTGGCCAAATGAATACTTGGCTAAGGGGAGAACTTAAATATTTCATTTATTATTAATATTGGAAATTTAGGTGAAGGTGTGAAAGGTCAAACTGATGCTCGAAGCTCTGTATCAAGAGCTGCCCTGTGGTCACCTTTACACAGGCAATGCTATGGGAATAAATCTCTTTGAAACACAATACTCAAGTGTGCAAATGCATGAGAGAAGTGAGAGCTGGCAGTAGAGATGGAGGAACACTGGCCTAGGCAACTGTGTACACTGAGACAACAAATCACTAGGTTTTCATTATTGTGCTTTGAACTTCTGAATGGCCACCAAAATCAACATATAGCTTACATTACATATTTGGGGGGCAGGAACCCATTTATATGGAAAACGCACATTCTGTGAAACACAGGTTACCGTGTTTATTAAAATAATACATATATTATTTCTACCTTTTCATTGGCAATATCCGTCAACTCCACAAAACTCTCCAATTTGATGTCAAAATCACGCAGAAGTTTCCACTGGTCTCCTTCAATTCCAACACCTGCCTTCTTAATTGATTTATTTTCTAGTAACATTTTCAATCCCTGGGGGAAAACTAAAACATTCAATGATTATTTCCATAACCCTGTTAAGTATAATGGATTTATTATTCTTATGCATATTACATGTATGTTAAGCTGATGTTTATATTAAACTTAAATTTAGAATCACATTCACCTTAACTGTTTCTTTTCTTCTTTAATGCGAAGAGTCCTGACTAAAAATTGACTAGAAAAAATGAGTTTGAATGCCACTCTATTAACAGTAACACTGTATTAGTCCTGGTCATTTAGACCTCTTAACTTCACTTCTCTATTCTCTAACACAGGAAAATGATATAAAGGTCAGGTAAGATACAAATACTTCAGTAAATATAAGATCATGAGAGGAAGCCTGTTAGTGAAAGAACTTAATTTTACAGGAAGAAGGTTGATACATTATTATTGTCGGCCATATAAAAATGGCACAGAGACACCAACCTGACATAGAAGAGATGTGAAACAGGTAACATTTGCTCTCAGCCACACACAACTGGATCACGGCAACTCTGCTTCGTTTCCCTTGTTTGTATACAGGTGGCCATTCCATGTCAAATCCGATCACATCGCCGTCAGAGAGACGCATGCTATCAAAGGGAAATTTGTGTGGATTGACTGCATGGTTTTTGACGGTTTTATTTTGTTACTTTTCCATAGCTAATAACATCCTTCACAAATTAAAGGACAAACCAAAGACTGGTGAGCATATCTGTGACATATACAACTTTTAGTAAACAGCCAGAAAATATTAAAAGGTCTTTATAAAGTCTTTAAGAAGACTTCTGTCTTAGTCATTTTCCTATTGCTGTTAAGAGACACCATGACCAAGGCAACTCTTATAAAAAGAAAACATTTAATTGGGGCTGGTTTACAGTTCAGAGATTTAGTCCATTGTCATCATGGTAGGGAGCATTTTTTTTTACCTAATGAGTCTCTTGCATATATATTTTGGTTTCCAATTTTGTGTTCTTATGAGATTCCTATGTGTGAAAGTATGTGTCTCTGCATCTCTGTGTTTCCTGTGTTTTTACTTTGGCTCTTTCTTTTTCTGGTGAGGTGGAGAGAACTTGGAATGAGTTGGGGGAGGGGAAGCTATGACCAGACTATGTTGTATTTAAAACATCTATTTTCAATAACAAAAAAATAATAATAATAAAAGAAAAAAACACATCTAAAATTTAAAATTCACAGGGGAGGTTAAACAGTAGATCAAACACTGCAGAAGAAATAAGTGATTAACATGGACATAGCAAAAGAACTATTCAAACTGAAGCATAAAGAAAAAAGAGAAAAAAACTTAAAAGAAATAGTATCAAGCAATTCAACTGCAGAATAGACAATCTTTTTCAGGAGAGTAGGAGGCTATCCAGGAACTGGCATAATTTCAGTTTGCTCTCTACCCCTTTGCTCTCTACCACATTACAGACACAGTACAAAGGTCCCTTTCAGATGTCAATCCGTTCTCTGGGACTCTATAGCCTCCAAAACTGTAAGGAATAAATTTACTTATATGTTTGTCAGGCCATGGAATTTTGTTATAGTCTCAAAAAATGAACCAAGACAGGCAACTATTAAAAGTACCAACAGTAATTTCTAATGCTCTTTTGACCATTTGGGGCAACTATCACTAACTAAACAGAATGGCCTGAGAGAGCTCTGCAGTTGAGAGCACTGGCCGAGGGCCTAGGTTTGATTCCCAGCACCCACATGGCAGATCACAACTGTCTCCAGTTTAATCTCCAGTTTAAGGGGCTCCAAAGCCCTCTTCTGGCCTCTGTGGATCTGCATACATGTATACAAACATTTATCAGACCAGGCATCCAAACACATTGTAAAAGTTAAAATAAAAATAAAATTTTAATAAAACACAGACTCATAACCATCACTTAATATGTTGATGTTTTAGTAAGATACAAAAATACAGTTAGAGGTTAATTAATATTTTCATTTTTCCCTAAATTAGTAAATGGTGTGTTCAATAATTTCCTGTACATTACATCTCAAGCACTAAAACAAACAAAACTTATCTAATGAAGCAGAAAAGATCACTAATTAACAAATAGGCACCTTACTAATTTAATTTGTGAGTTTATTTTGTACTTAAAAAGTAGAATACAACTTAGCTATGATATAAAAATACTTCTAAAATACACTTTCATTGTAAAACTAGGCACTCATAAATATCACCCGCTATTTCTTACAAGTATCTTTTAAGAGTCTAAATTTAATGACAAGAACTTTAGATCCCTTACCTGATATCTTCAGACAGGAAAGAGCAATCGCTGGCTTCATAACTGTAAACGATGGATCCAGTGAATTCTAAGAATGGGAGATCATCTTCCAGAACACTCTTCTGAATACATGCCTTGAGTTAAGCACAATTCAAAACAGGCACAAATAAACATACAGTAGATAATAAGTCTTCACTGAAATAATAAAGTCCATTGAAGAAATTTATAGCATTTAGTTTTACATTTTAGAATAAGAAGCCATAGGTCAGTTTAACAAAAGCAAAGCTGTAAAATTATTTTTCCATTCCATTCTATTTTCAAACTTCTTATTTTCATAAAATCACTTAATTTATTTGTTTTTTCCTGATAATTGTATTAACATCCTAGATGCAATAATGTGGCCTTAAAATGCTGGTGGCGAATTACCAGATCTTAAGTCTCCAAGGACTTGAACTATTTTAACCAAAAATTCACCACCATTGATATTGTCTAAATTATTATATGAATTGGAACAAATCAACAACATCAATCATGAAAACTAGATACAGAAAAAGAAAAATATATTAGGGATTTTCATTTTATAAAACTGACTTAAAATTGAGTCCCTTTTACCTTTCGACAACTGATTCATTCACACAACAGAAAGTTTTTCCTAAACAATGACCTGATGCTTAAAAGCAATGGGATGACTCACTGCACAGTCAAATTCAAACAAAATTTCCCATCTGAACAAATAATCAATGAACAGTTACCTTCTTTTCTTCTGCAGCACATCTTGCTTTCAGTGCGGACATCCATTCAGGAAATTTCCTCTGCAGTGAAGTGGCTTCCATTGTATTTTAGTTCATCTTTGAAATACCCTAGTTGCAAATTCCGACAATATCTATGGATAAATGTGACAAATATTTGACAGGAAACTCAGAGATAGCCCCCACGTATAGGACTGAAAAATGAAGCCAACGTACATAGTTAGTATAAGATGTAACACCTAGACTCAAGAACAGAACTTGAACTACAAAGAAACAAATGTAGTAATTCAAGTTTACTAACTATGCATTATTTCTTCCTTTTAAAATAAACTAGCCATTTTAAATGAGTTCTATGGTTGTAGCAGTTTCAAAATTCTAATATGCTATGGCTTTGTTCCTTCAAAAGAATAACTTTTATCTCATTTATGAAGATAATCCTTGAATATATGAAGTACCACATTTTTTCAGCATCTTTGATTTTCTACAGAATCATCTCTCCTAAGGTCTAAGTTGACTGAGCACAACTGTTAGATTTACTCACAAATCTACTTGAAGATCCAGTTCTGAAGACATAACAGCTCTCCCATAGTAAAGACTTTGACTATGTGCTTAGCTGAGGAAGTGAGAGGCACCCTAAAAAGAAAGAGTTTCTTGGAGGATCTTTTTTTTTTTTTTTCTGGAACTGAGGACCAAACCCAGGGCCTCCTAGGCAAGTGCTCTACCACTGAGCTAAATCCCCAACCCCTCTTGGAGGATCTTTATCTTAATCTGTTACTAATTTTGAGGACTCTCTAGAATATAATCCAGATTTCAAGCATGAAAACTCCTAATACATTATTTTTAATAATAAAATGAATCTATACTCCTACTTGATTTTTACTAAACTAGGGGAGTAAATTCCTCAAGCCTTGAGTTAGGTTCCTATTACCGGAATGTCATGTGGGGAGTAGAGTTTTAAATACATTGGTGAAGAGTCACCTGATGAAATATGCAGAAGTGAAGCAATCACAGCAACCACTTAAGATTTAGGGGCAGCCTACTAGACTTGGCGCTATTAAACAATATAAAGGAATTTTTCTGCCTTTTGTTAGTTCTGTGAGAATTACACACAGAGTGTTTTGATCATATTCATTCCTCTCCCCACCTCTTCCCAGACCCACCCCATTCCCTACCCATCAACTCTAATGTACTAAGACAAACTCATGTAAACATACGTACTTTATAAACCTAAAGCATCTTTTAACTGCTAGTGGTTAAGTACCTATTTGCCAAAATGTCAAAGCCCCTGACAGCAGTCAAAAGTTGGTGACAAATTACAGATGTATGACCTGTTAAAGATGTATGACCTATTCATGTTCTATTGGTATACAGACAATTAGGTTCCATTGTGGCATTTTTCAAGAAAATTTTGACTTCGTTATTTCTCTTCTCACACTCCTTCTCCCCGACCTCTCCCTGTTCCCTGACTCCCCACTCCTTGAGCCCTGCTACCACAGTAGCCTGCCTTCTGCTTTCAGGCTTTGTTGGCTAGATTTTTGTCAAGCTGGCACAGCCAGAGGTACCTGAGAAAAGGGAAACATAATTGAGAAAAGGCCAGTCTGATAAGACTGGCCTGTGGGCAATTTCTTACTTAGTTATAGACTGAGGGGGCATTTTCTTACTTAGTTATAGATGTGGACTCGGGGTTTGCTTTTATTTGACTATCGCAGTGCCCTGGTCTTCCCTCTTGGAGTAAGAAAGTTACTTATTTTGAGTTTAGAGCAAACCCAGTTAAGAGACCTTGGGTATTTTAAAGAGACTTTGTAATTTTAGAGGAACTTTGGATATTTTAAAGAGACTTAACTTTTAAAGTTTTTGAATTCTTAAAGAATATAGAACTTTTGGGCTGGAGAGATGGCTCAGCCGTTAAAGGGTAGGCTCACAACCAAAAATATAAGAATAGAGAACTTTTAAAGATATTTATGCATTATATTGTGATATTAATATGAGATCTTGAGGATGAACAAGAAGGGAAAGGTTATGTTTTAATAGTAAGGTATTGGTGTGTCAGGTTGACAAGGGGTCAATTGTCCTGGCTAGTTTATTGTCAACATGACACAAGCTAGAGTTATTTAGGAAGACGGACTCTCAATTGAGAAAATGCCAGGCGATGGTGGTGCACGCCTTGAATCCCAGCACTCGGGAGGCAGAGCCAGGCGGATCTCTGTGAGTTCAAGGCCAACCGGGTCTACAGAGAGAGATCCAGGACAGGCAC